ACATTTATAGTTGCAAGTTAGATTAAAAAAAAATGAGGTGAGCGAACTGGGATTTCTTTAGCGATGCGCCAAGTCGTACGGAAAAGAAGTCGCATTTTTAGGCGACCGCGAAGCGCCAGAAAACCTAAAACGATGACTGGCTTCGGTGAAGGAAAGAAAGAGAGCCACGCGTCTGTGTGTGCAGCGTGAGGGCCGGCTCCAAGCTGCACTCCCACGCTCATCGTCCATGAAACACGGGGTGCGAGGTGCAGCTACTACACGCGAGTCTCGCAGGTGTACTTGGAATATGCAGGGTCTCTGTCCCTACAGCCCTATTAACGACGCCACGGTCGCCACATGGACACGGGAGTATGGGAAAGCGCGCAAGAGAGGCCCTCGCGAAATAATTATTCCTGCGGGAAAGAAGCTCGCTTTGATGTAATGATGCCCATCGGGCGATATCTTCGTATCTTTTAGGCGGCGCGAGATTCAATGCTGATGAAACTGTCCAGCATAGATATAATTTCAGGACATCTTTAATCGCCTGGCGTGAAAATAGTAGCTAATATATGAACTTTGAAATATAAGAGATATAGTATCATTTCCTTGTCGATTCTCTTAATTTTCATTTTCTTAGGATTTTAATAGTTTAACAAAATATATATTTTTTGAAAATTTTAAGATAGATTGGCAATTGGTTCATTATTATTTATTGTTAATTCAGTTGAACTTATTTATACAATTTTTTTTCTCAAGGAACTACGTACTAAAACCTGATCTTCGAAGCTGATTTCGCATTTCATAATTATGTCTAATTAAAAATAACTGAAATTGAAGCTATCTGACCGCTAGGATATTTTTGTGCGGCGAGACCACCTGTTTTTTTCCTTCGTTAATAAAATATAAGTGTGGGAATGTGGGGTAGTGGCACGTCACATGCGTGATAATGCTGTCGTTTCGCCGTAAAGATCGGTGAATTATGGTAATTCCTCAAAGTCACCCGCATTTCATCGCGCTACGTATTATTAAAGAAAAAACTAACTCTGGCAACTATGCTAATCGTCCGACTAACTAAGCTGTTTAGAGTAGCTGTAAAAGAAAGAAAGAACAAATGAGAGAGAAAGAGTGTGTGTGAGAAAGAGTGAGAGAGATAATGATCCTGGCAAGCCACCTGGTTTTGCCTTAACAGATACAACGTACTCGATATCACCTGCTTCTCGTTGACCCTCTACAAACTCTAGCTAGCCTCGAATTAATGATTCGCGTTCTCCCCTTTTAAACCGCAGTGCTGCTTATAATAAGGAATTTTAGCAACGTCATAAATTTAATATACTGGCGGCGGATGAATGAGATCGCAGTATAGATTTTAAATTAAAAACCGATTTCAATTGATTCACAGTTTTTCTTTTCACTCGTCTCGGATTTATTCCTCTCGTGCATATCGATGAATCGTTCTTCAAGTGCAATTTTTATATATTCTGATTGGAAAGAGATAAGCTCTTAATTGTAATGGAATTTATTTGCTCGTAATTATTATGTTGATCAAATATATTATAAAAATTATGTAACAAATATTTATCTTAAGAATATTTCGGACAAAGTGACAGCGAATTTAATTAGCATCTACTATTATTTCTAATTTTATGTAAATATAAATCTAAATCAAGTCTTGGTGTACCCCACCAAGCTTTTAAAAATTGAAATAATCTCTTACTTGAGATTTAATTTCAAAAACCCCTTGCGGAAATAATTAAATAAATGCAAGAGAAAAATATAGATCCGAAAGTCGCTGAATCGGGAATCGAACCCCTGAATAATTTTATGTATTTTGTGTTTTTATTACAACTTACTGCGCGCTTAGCAAAAGCGTCAGTGATTAATATAACATTTCACATTTTAAGCTGAAACATAATCTTTGAGATAAGATTAGATGTACCACGGAATTGTGTATATGACGATCGAAAAAAATAATATATTAATACCAAGTTTTTCTTATCTTATTTTGATTTGATAAAAACATATCAACGCAAAAGAAACACACATAATAAGGCCAAAAAACGAGCACCAAATTAATTATAAATACATAAATTGTATAGATTTTATGTATTTATAATTAATTTGGTGTTCGTTTTCTGGCCTTATTATGTGTGTTTCTTTTACGTTTTGTATTACATAAGAAAATATCTGAAAGCTCAAGTGTCAAACTATGGCAGTAAGCTGTAATAATTTAATACGTGCCAAAGCTATAATGCACATCTCAATTCATCGATTCTTCGATTTTCTTAAGTTCAGTATATTGTATTCTTAAATTCAGTATATCACTGCATAGCAATAGTTTCTCTCACTTGTAAAGAGTAAATAATCGTTGCTTTCCATCTACATCAAAGCTCAGATAAATCACTTTTGTTTTTCTTTAACATGGATGTTGAAGAAAGACAAAAATGAAATTTATCTGAGTTTTGATGTAAATGGAGAGCAACTAATATTATATTACAAACAGTGAAATCTCATTGAAAAGAGAATCGGTGATGACTGATTTTTTAATGAAATTAAAAATTCTCGTTGTAACAATTAACGAAACAAGATATTAAAGAAGCAAGTTTTGGCCATTAATTTTCCGTGAAATATCGCTGTTTTTATAAGTGATATTTTCATTAATATACTGTTTAAGAGAGGATAGTATTGTTTTCCCATTAAGTATGTGTTATAAAAAAAACAAATCAAACTGATAAGAACTCGAATAAGGAAGAAAGAACATGATAATGTGCTGCATCTGTCTCTTCGTCTAGACCCCCGCCCAGTGATTCAAACGCTGCTCGTTTATCGAACTGACAACAATGAAGCGCCGCGCAGCTTCGGCGCGATGGATCTCTCCGCGCGGCTTGGGTCCTCTCTCGCGATCGTAGAACGTAGAACGGAAGTCGAGGATAGGCGGAGTTGGTTTGGACCAATCGAGATACGCGCCTCCCACAGCATATATCAGCTGTTCTTCCCCGCGGAGTGTCGCGCGTCGGCGTAGAGACCGGTGCAACATCGTCCTTTCATCCTCACCCGCCAGTCCGATTTAACATAATGACGTCTGTAAACGTCGTTGCTACTCTCCTATCACAGCACTCAACCGCCAACTTTTTCATTTTCTAGTACTTTTGACGCTGATAATAATAATAATAACGTCAACAATGTATACGTTCCGCTCTTTCTTATTTGGAATTTAAATCAGTTTAAAACAAAATGTAAATTTCTCATTTATATAATTTGTTTACGACGTTTCAATATAATTATGATTTTTTTTCATGAATACAGATTGGAGAGAAATCATGTAGAATAAATAAAAAGAAAATATTTAATTCAAATATAATGAAATAACAAGAAATATTTATTGTTAACTGTATATGTATAAATATTTTTATTTTTATTATTTCGTTTTTAACCGAATATAATTACGCGCGCGAAACGAAATTCATCATTCTTTGATAATAAAATCTCAAAAATTGCAACGCGTAAAAATTATTGCAATGCATGCATAAAAATATATATTTATTAATTATGCAATGCATAAATATTAAAATCTTTAACAAAGAATTCATACAAAAAATAGCATTTTGTACAAGAATCTTTCAAATATATCTATGCTTCCACATACGAGTATACGTATCATCCGCACAAACATATTCACAGAGAATTTTCTCTTCGAATTTATCTTGAAAATTATGGCAATTGTGAGACAATATGGTAATAAGGTTTATAAGAGTTTCTCTGATTAATATTTACCACAATAAAATTAATACCACAAAAGATATAAAATATGTTCGATTAATTTTACTATGTACATAGTAAAATTTACTATGTACATATTAATATTTTTATTGTAAATATTAATCAGATAAGCTCATAAAATATTCTTCCAATATCATATTGTCCCACGATTACCATGATTTTCAGGATAAATTCTAAGAAAAAATTCCGTGTATACATATCATAAGAAAATTCATTGATCCATAAACGTATGCATAATAATAAAATAAACCAATCAAATTTCTTATGCATACCAATCAAATTTCTTATGCGCGACCACAAGACCACTGATCTTTACAGTCAAGAGAGAAGTGGACTTACTGGATTCGACGAAAGCATCTCACCTTCCATCCTTTTCCTTAGACGTGTGCGTCCCATACGTCCACCACGTTGCACGTCTGGCGAGAAACTGATCCCCACCACTGATCCCCAGACTGGGCACAGTGGTGTCGCTAACTGACGGCTAATTCGACAGCAAAGATGAACCGGGCACGACGAGAACATATGTCTCTTTCTATCTTTCCCATTCAACGCATCTCACTCCACACATCCGTCAAGCTGCGCAGCTGATTCTCGTTTGAGACGTTACAATTGTGTGTGTGAATGGAATCTAATGAAAATATTTTAATCGAAAGATTCTTATAGACAAATCTATGTTTTGTTCTCTGTTAAAAATTTATATATTAAATTTTTATGCATGCATCGCAACAATAATTTTTATGCATGCGTTGCATTTTTGAGATTTTTATTATCAAAGAATAATATCACTTCACTTCGCGCGTAATTATATTTAAATTAAACGAAATGAGAAAATAAAAATATTTATTACAGTGTATTTCAGAAGAAAAGATTAGTGCAGTTTTAGAATATTAACCATTATTCCTAAAACATCCTGTTTATCTCATACATATGTATACATGATTTATCTATCTTATCCTTATTATATTTATCTATGTTATATACATATGTATTTATCTCTACTTTATAAATATACATTCTGATATGTATTATATTATATACGCACAATTTTTTATTCATATAATATTATCTATTTTTATTATTTAAATATAATATGAAAAATAAATAGAAAACGTTCTTTACAATGCAAATAAATTCAATTTTTTGACTCTTACAAAAACCAGAATAATATTTTCTGATTTTCTTTTTTCCTTTTTATGTGCAGCAAAGCGTACAATAAATAAACTGATGTCCTTTTTAATTTGCAGGTGGCTACAATCATCTTCGCAGTCCTGTGTGCCAAGACGAAAGTCAAAAAGACGAAACGTCGCCACCACCTCACAGCCATAGCACCCAACCGCCAACCTCTCACTCTAGCACTCCTAACAGTAATAACAACAATAACAACAATAACAATGCCAACAATGCGTACATTCATCTACGGAATTTAAATCAGCTCAAAACGGAATGTAAGTCTCCCACTTATATACAAAGTAATCAAAAATTCTATAGATTTTATTTATCCATATACATCTTATATCGACATTATTTTTACAATAATATGCGTTTTCGTTAGTTCTCTTTTATATGGTCCTAAAAAATTACATGTTGCCTTATTAGGGCATTTAATATTTTAAACATTGTTGGTTCATTTTTAAGCTATAAAATTATGTTACTTTTTAAGGTCGATTTTGCGGTTTTTAAAAAAGTTTGTAATTTATTGTGGTTTTAAGAACAGAGCACTTGATAAGGACCGAAACCCACGGCCGAAACGTTGTGAAATTTAATAGAATTACTTTTTTGCCAGAGTTGGTCGATTAAATCATTACCATTTTTTGCCTAATATTCTTATCTAAATATTTATAAAATGTTAATTGTACGGCTAAAAAATTATTGAATGTGTAATCTTTTTATGAAAGAAATATAATTCGAAAAAAAATTTTATAGCGAACTACAGTAATCACCACATAACGGAGCATCTCCAGAGTGGCGGCCTGGGCAGCGGGGGCGACCTCGGGGGTACAGGAAGCAACGAGAACGACTTGAGAGTCGGCGCGAACGCCACGGAGAGTTACATGACGCCGGCACATTATTCCGGATACGACGAGACTTCCGAGTATCACAGCTTACCGCCGGATCACCAGGCACCGCATCCATACAATTTGGATAGTTCGCCGGACTTTTACGGCACCAGCGCGATTCACATCGAACCCAAATATCAGCCGTCATCGTTCAAAAACTATCCTCGAGGTTCGTGACTGTGACTGAAATCAGACATGAATTAAAAAGCAAAAGATGTAATCTCTTTCGAACAATTAACATATTAATTTATTTTTTCATATTTTGTATATCTAATTAAAACTTCTTTGTATCTAAATAGAGATATAAAAATTATAATTTTATATTTAGATATAATAAAATGTAGGTATATAATAGATATATAAAATTTAATTTTTATCTAATTAAAACTCTTTAATTAATAAATTCATAAGATTCATATAGATTTATATTATATATACAGTGTTAATAATCACTTACTCCTTACAGGAGGACGCTTCCATGAGGGTTACAGCGAGAGCGGTGGATACGGACAGTACGATGCAACGCCGTTCCAAACGGTTCCCGGAAGCGGGAGCGGTGCTGGAGGCGGCGGCGTCGGTGGTGACCAATGGGGTGTCGGACTTGGAGATCACTTGTCTCATCACCCCGCGTTTCTTGCGGGACTCGGACCACGGGACTCCTCCAATCCCCATCATCCCACATCTATAACTAATAATGCGGACCAAAAACCCTTACTGCAAAATCCGATGCTCGCCAGTTACGCAGGTAGCTTTCCCTATTCAATTGTATTACACACAATTTCGTAATTCTTTTCAAACAAATTGTCGAATAATCTTTTCAATCTCTAATTAACGCAAATTGGTTCTTTCCCTTTTTATGAATATTTAAAAAATTATTTAATTATTTATGATTAGCATAGAGAAATTAAAAATACAATAATATTGCGAATTTTCTATCTAAATATTTTAATAATTGTTTCATAACTTAACATTTTAATATTAAATACTAATCAAATGTATAAAATGTCATGTAGGCGGACCATGTTTTACCGGATCAGGTCCAATTCAGCTCTGGCAATTTCTGTTGGAGCTGTTAACTGATAAATCGTGTCAGGGTTTCATCTCGTGGACCGGCGATGGCTGGGAATTCAAACTAACCGATCCGGACGAAGTTGCGCGCCGTTGGGGTGTCCGCAAAAATAAACCCAAGATGAATTACGAGAAGCTGAGCCGAGGCTTACGCTACTATTATGACAAAAACATTATACACAAAACTGCTGGCAAACGATACGTATATCGCTTTGTTTGCGACTTACAAAGTCTACTAGGGTAAGTTTAGTATACATAATGTAATTATTTAAATGTTATATGTATAAATTACACATGTACAAATACACACATATCATATACATGTACAAATTTACAGATATTACAATATATACATATACAAATACACATATTACATAATATATTGACAAGTTGATTAGTTACAATTTTTTTACTGAGATACTTCCATATAACAAGAAATTTACATATTTTATATACATTTTTACCATTTGGAAATTTCATATAAATATTATAAATAAAATTGGAATAAAATATAAATCATTGTGTTATTTTCCTTTTCGATATTTACAGATACAGTCCTGAAGAGTTACATGCAATGGTAGACTTGAAACCTGAGAAAAAGGAAGAAGACTGAGTTTTTGTTAATGAGAGCATGCTTTAGAGGATTGTGTCACACTTATAAATGAAATGTAATAATACAAATTCTCTTTCTATCTCTCTCTTTCTCTCTCTTTCTTTTTTTGCATTAGCATGCAAAAATAAGAAAAATGAGAGGACAAAAAAGTATCTATACAATGAAATCACTATGAAATAACTATATTCAAATACAGAAGACTGTGATAGTACGTCTTCTTTGTTCAGATATAAACAAAATCGAATCGGGGTCGTATGTACCAAAGACAGGGTCTGCATACCATTGGTGCCTAAAGTTGAAGAAATCGCGAATTTGTTTCTAAGTGATTGATTTGTCAGCAGGTTTTAGAGAATATTTATAGGAATAACTCGTCAATTTATACATATATATATATATAGATATATTTTTAATGTTATATGATTTTCAACGCTACTAGCGTCAAGATACTTGATGATGCCGCTAAATTATTTATGTCTCATCATTTTAACATGTGTGTTATATCTCGTTGATAGATGACGATATGTGATTGTTATTACCATAATTTTACAATAAACTCATTATATAATGTACTATGTAGCGAGCTTTTCAATTCGATATTTTCACATATGCTTTTTTTTCTATGTATAGATTAATTTAGATTATAATTCTAAACTGTACTTTTCTTTCAAGAGCTCGCTTCTCCAAAAGAAAATAGACATATATATATATATATTTTATATTATTTCTTAATTATTAAATATATATTCTGATATGTACGCTCGCGATATATTAAATATATTTAATATTTTTAATCGCGCAATAAAAAAAACTGTTATACATGTAATCCGAAAAAAACGTTGCTAATGAAAAGAGTATGCTGTTAATTTAATGTTAATATTTTTCATAAAAATAACATTTGCTGAATTTGACTTGTTTGTAAAATATTCTCATCGAGAAATTGTACATCCATGACTTTGAAGACGTTGCAAATGAACATTTATAGAAAGGAAGAAAAGAAGGGCCATGTGCAACCAGTGTTCCATGTATTTATTACAAACATAAAGAAAGCACTTCACGCATTCCGCATTTCTTTTGAAATTAGTTATATACATTATATATAAGAAAAAGGTGACGATTAAATCTTACATTTGTAACATTCTAATAAATTTAATACAAAATTTATATTTTTTATATTCACATTTATTATTTTAGACATATTTAACAAATATATTGGATTTAGAGAGATCTCATCTTAATTTTTTCTTTTTTTTTCGATTCATGGAACACTGGCTAATGCAATTGTATCAAATATGTATACATATATATGTGTAACTATTTTATAATTTACTATGTATAAATTATATTAATGTTTTTCTATCAGAGAGAAAATATTACATTGAATAAATAATACGCAAGATATATTAATGGCATAAAACTTGACAAATTAAAGTACGAGCAACGTATTTTGTATTTTCCACGTGTCTTATATCTAGAGCTGCATCTCAAAATGTCACCCAAATGCATTCCTTCTCTTTCTATATTACTCAGTCTGAGTGAGTATAAAGAATGAGGGAATGCACATCTGGATGACGTTTTGAAACGCAACCTAGAAATATATATGCATACGTATATAAATATATTTTTATATTTATATATATGTACGTATATGATTTAAACTATTTTTGTATTCGCTGTGTTTGTTAAGTTTCCACATACCAAAATAATTTAACGCTACAAATGAAAGAGAAACAGCGTAGTACACATTATCTATATACGTAATTAACAGTATACTAATTTCAAATAATCGTTTGGAAATTTATTACGTTGACGAGGGTTGTTAAGGAGAAATGTAAAATCGGTGGCGATTTTTACTAAGGTCTCTTGTTAAAAAAACTACCAAGATTATCCTTTTAGCGCGATAATCGTTATAATTAAAATTTCTTCTAGTTGTGTCGACCGGATGTTATAAATAAATTATATTAAATACTCTTAGAGAGAATCCCTGAAAATATGGGACGAAAGAATACGATGTATAAAGCTACTCGAATGTTAATATTAAGTTATACACGGTCTTGGCACTTGTTATATTAAAAGAGAGAGCCATACTTCTTTCCCAGGATTATATATAGCATTTTGAAAGAGATGTGAATGCAGAAACTTTTTAGTAGATGCAATAAAAAAAAAAGAATAAAGAGATTTTTATAAATATTTTCGATTGATCGTTATTTATTTACTCGGTTCTGTTACATACACCACTATACTTTGATGAAAATCATAATAATAGATACGTTTGTCCTAATTGCATTTTTTACTTTGTTTTTCATTTGCCATCCAATGTTTAAATGGATATTTTTCTTTTGAATGCAATTGTAAAATACGTGCAGATCTGATCTGTGCATAGATATATTTGTGATCAAATAGATCCTGATTTTGTATGCTATTTGCACTTTTATATTTCGGATTTTTTGTTTTCTCTCTCTTTCTAAAACTCTGGTTCCATTTTAATGCAAAAATTTTGGGGAATTTTAATTTTATGTTGCATATCCTTTCTACACTCTCACATATATATTTGTACTATCTTTTTATATATTATCTCTCATGTATGTTATTTACAGATGTGTCTACATATGTGTTTTTATCATACATTTTTAAAAAGAAAGACCGAATAGTGCGAATTTATTGTGTTCAGTTGTTTTAATTTCGTTACAAAATTTATGCAACAATGCAAAACAATGTGGGATTAAATGCAGAAACATTAACGGGATCAAATGTTACATCTTTTGTACAATGTGTCACAGAATTGGTACGTCATTAATATATAAATACAATCTTCATAATTTTATGAGAAATTTGCATGTCGTTATAGTTAACAATAAATGTCTCATTTTCATATCGTATTATATACGATAATAAAAATCAGAAACGCAATTATTGAGATTCCAACACGATCGCGCAATTTAATAGTTCTAATTAATTAATTATCATGTCAATCAATTAATTAATCTCTCATATGTATTACAACTTTATATTTTAATACACATTTAATACACATGTTATAAAATATGTCAAGTATAGATTCGTCAGTTTGCTATATATATATAACATTTAATCGAGCAAAGACTGCACTTACAGATAGTAAATTCTTTGATTGCACACGCTAAAGCGATCGCAATAAGAATTCACGCGGGGAAACGCGAAATTCAAGTCATCGATAATGGCATTGGAATATCAAAAAATATGCTGCAACATGTTGCGGAATATGATGACATAAAAACTGTAAGCAATCAGCAACGAATGTACAAACTGATTCAATCGAACGATCGTACGCTGACGAATATTCGTTATCTATCTGATGGTCTCGCCATTGCTTCAAGGCATCAATATTCAATGGATACATATATGAAGGTATATATACATATCGTAATCATTAATTTATTATATAATGCATTTAATAATAAAATACAAATTAATTAAAAAATTAATTCTATAAAAAAATATGCATTTCTCTATTTTTTTGAAATGTGTACATTTTTTAATATTTTAAAACAGATATATCGACACAATATTTTATATATATGTATATTTTTTATCAAAGATATTCAAAAATGGTTCAGCACCTAATTTAGCGCAAATAGAACAGAGACCTTCGCGTGGCACAACTGTATCTGTATATGGTTTCCATGAAGCATCATTGGATGAAAAATGGGATATATCCACTGTTTGCCTTTTTATTGCAGCTATAGCTGTTAAAAAATTAGAAGTATGACTTGATTTATTTTAATCAATAAAATTATTTCTTCGTAGATATAGTAATTTTTTATTAATGTAATTAGGTATCGTTCTCGATTAGAGACGATGAACGAAAGAAGATCGTCTTGAGAATTGCAAAATCGCATAGTCCAATTGAAGTGTTAAGAACATTTTTCGGAAAAAATTTATCATTAAATAATTTATGGCTAATACAATACAGATCGGAATTAAATAGCGCGAATTATCAAGGTTACATAGGATTATCTGATAGAAACATGACACAATGGATATTTTTAAATCACAAACCAATCCATTGTTCTCTCATCTTGAAGCTAATTAAAATTGCCTTCGAAGAAAGGTGCGGCTTATCTTCTAACTGGGGATTCAATATGCAAGATTTACGCAACAAAGATATGTTTATCATACTCTTTTTTAATTGTCGCCGACAGAATTTGCATTTGTTAATGAAAATGGAAAAAGACACGTTATATTTTACGATATGCAGAAGATATTAAACGACATTAACAATTGTGTCTTTAAATGTCTCACAGAAGAAACTAAAATCTGTGCTGCTGCTATCTCTAATTTACACGTAACACAGCCATCGAAACATTTAAAATTCGAAGAATCCATTTTCAACAAGATGAATGGATATAATAAAAATTTGAAAGGAAATAAAGTTATTACGATTGGTCTTAAAAGAAAAAAGATTACATCAACAATTGCAACTAATAATAAACGGCCGAATAAAGAAAATGATAATATGAAAATCACTGATTGTGCAGCAGAAGGAAACATAAATAATCAAATAGATATTGCTTCTACAAATTTGTGCGAAGGTAAAATTACAAAGAAAATACACAATAATGTTAATAGAACGCCAGCAAGTTTCATTAATTTTGCGGCAACAAATGATTGCATCGAATCTCGTAAAACTTGCAATTATCATGATAATGACAATGATTCTGAAAACATGATTTCTCCTCTTTCCGAATGGTCCAACTGGAGTTATTACACAAATAATAGACAACGCGATTCTGCGAGAAATATATCCGATAAAATTTTTCAAAAGGATATACATTTTCCACGATTTCTTAATTACATTGATCAATTTGATTTTCTACCACGAAAATTGCACGGTCTTTTACGCCATCGTCATGTTAAATTAACAAATGTGAAAAGCTTTGACAGTCCTAATAATACGATTTTGCGTAAGTAATTCTTTACATATAATAATTAGTTATATATAATTAATTTAGGAATAATTTTACATTAATGAATGTTCTACAGCTGCAGAGAACTGGCAGCACCAGCAAATAGCGGTGCATCCTTGTAATTTGAAACGAAAACTATGTGAATTTAGATTGTCACGTGTCTCATTAAAGCGCATAAAGGTACGTATGTAAGTTCTCGACGCAATAAATCATTCCAAATGATGGAGAGCTATTTTAGCAAATATGTTTCCCTTGTAGATCATTAATCAAGTTAATGACGAATTTATCGCTGCGTGGATGATGTACGATGAAATGAAAATTCTATTAATGATGGATCAACACGCCGTCCACGAAAGAATACGTTACGAAAATTTACTTCTTAGTGAGTAATTATAATAATTTTCTAATAAAAACATATTTATTTTTAAAGTGATTGAATAAACTTTGCGATATTATAAATTACTGAATTATATATAAATAAATTATTGCTTTAAAAATTAACTATAATAAATACGAAAATATATGCGAACTCTTTTTTAGTCTTATTCTCTCTATTAGATATTTTTAATTATAATAATAAATTATTATATATTTTTAGAATACAAAATAGAGAACGAGGATGAATTGCTCTCCATTAATTTGCGTGATCCTCTGGTCGTGGAATTTTCTACAAAGACACGCAATTTGCTTTTATGCCATAAAATGTTACTGAAAAAATACGGAATAAATTTAGGATCGTTAAAGGAAAATACAAAATTACTAATACGCACGATACCGCAGTGTTTGATTACGAATAATGATCATCGCAATAGCGAAAAAATATTGCCGAAAATTTATAGTTTATTAAATGACATATTAAAAAATCATAGCACAAGTCGTCCAAATACATTGCCATTAACTATTCATAATGCTATAGCATCGGAAGCTTGTCATGGTACGTATTAGGCAGATAATAAAACTTGCATAATTACTGATGTTAATTGCCATTATCAATATTATTGCCAGTATTATATTTCGAAGCACTGTAAAGAATTTATTTGCAATTAATTTAAAGACTCTGCCATCATTTTTCGAACTTTCTTCAGGTGCCATAAAATTTGGTGATAAACTAACTCTGGAACAGTGTAAGGATCTTATAAAATTGCTGAAATTTACAAAGTTTCCTAATCGATGCGCACATGGACGACCAACTATAATACCTGTGATGGAACTTTCGGAATTAGAAAAAAGGGGCGTCAGGATGTCCGAGGTATGTATAATATTTTATATGTGATTGCACTTTTTTCCAATTTTTATTACAAAGATAGGTGATTCGAGATTACGTCGCCTTTTTAGAATTTTAATTCGTACATAGATAAAAACATGTGAAAGGCGCTTTCTATAATATATCATGACAGATACATGTATAGATGCAATTAAATTAAACTAAAAGCAGTATATAGGTATCTCTACGATATAAATATTTCAATCTATGAGTTGTTTCGCGATAAAAATGAAAATCATCCGAATGCTTCGATCTTTAGCGTGTCTACTTAAATTTTGGATCTTATGCAAACTTATCTAAAATAACAGCAATTTCTAAATTCTGAGTTTTATCCCGCAATAAAGCCGGCGATCAAAATATCTTTGCCGAAGTAATTGAATCTCGTAGAAACTAAATTAATGTCCTTTCCACTTAACGAGATCGGACAGACGTCGTTCGGACGAACGTAGAAGCATACTGTATAAAGAGCCATCTCCAACTCGGGTGAGAGACCCACGAGAAGAGTCGAGATTGCATGTTTCGTGTCCGGTATATTAAACGCCGAACGTATCTTGATGGCCTCCCCCTTCTGCGAATCGAAAAACGAATCAGCACATACGTAACAAATTAAATCGAATAAGCGAACTCCGCGTTTACTTACGTCTCCTAGTTTCACATCCTTTATGTAGCCGCGATAATCGAGCTTCTTCTGCGCCTCTTGTTTGGCGAAGTAGATCCAATTCTGCGGCCCGATCATAAAGGAATCGAGTTTTTCCGCCAAAAATACGGCCTCGAAGCCGGAACTGGACGGTTCTCCCTCGACACGCTGGAACTGCGAGAACCAGATGCGTCTCAGGGTGTCCCTGAACTCATACTCGTCATTTGGAATAAATTCCTTGTCGACCAGGAACTTCATCGCCGTTTTAAACACGTCAGTTTCCAAGAACTTGTCGAGCAGCTCGGACTCCTCCTTTCGTTCCTCGGGCGTGACGGTCTCCTTCGTCTTCACATCCATCTCGTAATTATCGTGCAACGCCAGCACGCTTTTAATCGTCGGAATTTCATACGCTTCGGGTTTCACGTCCAGTAGGCTGAAATGATATTTTAACAATAAAATCTGAGAAATATTTCATTCAAAGATATAAGGACGAACCCAGGAGTCACTGAAGCCTACTCACGGCAAAGAAGCGTCATCCGTGGTACCATCTTCCTTCGTCTCACCCTGCAGATTCACCGTAATGTACTGGTACGCGTTGTTCTTGTCCATCGAGAGGAGATTCTCCGTCAGCTTCTTCACCTCGTCGTTGGAAATCGGATAATTCGGCTGGCTCGGACCATTGTTCTGAGAATTAATAGGTGGTGCGGCATTGCTGGACGCGGTCTCTTTCTTCTCAGCCTCCGCGGTCGGCGCCGATTGAGCCGGTGCCGATTGAGCCGGTGCCGTCTGAGCCGGTGCCGTTTGACCCGGCGCCGACAAGGCAGGTGCACTAGGAGGCGCGCCGTTATTATTGGCAGGTGCTTCCCCGTTGGCCGGCGCCGACTGATTGTAATAGTAATTGTTGTACGTGACCTCGGTGTGACTACCGCCGCCACTGCTTCCCGGACTTCTGCCGTAGATTCCTCCCGGCAACAGCCTATTCACGGCCGCGCTCACCCCGGCGCTCACACTAGAGTAGACCAGGGCTTCCTTGGCCAATTGACCGATTCCGGGTCGACTCGGTTGTAGGACGGTGAGGGCTGGCGCTTGCGAGATGGCCGGTTGAACGAACGATGGTTGAGCGTAGGACGGTTGACCGTAGGAGGGTTGACCGTAGGAAGGTTGACCGTAGGAGGGTTGACCGAAACCACCGCCATGCCCGCCATAAGGAGTGTAGGCTGGCGGCGCGTTATGGTGCATAGACGGATTGTAAGCTTGACCATAGGGCGAATGACCTCCCGGATACGACGGATTTATATTGGGAGACGGATATCCTTGGTTGTAACCACTCGAGCCGCTGTAAGGGTTGTTGGCTGGCTGTCGAGGATATCCACCTGGAAACGATTTTACAAAGGGGTGATTAACAGCGTGAATTTCAATCTCCTCATAGCTCTTACACTGCATGTATTCAAAAGACATTCTGATAATATCTTATTACCTAAAGATATCTTCGGGATACCTTTGAACATCTTTCATTTTGTATGCTGTGTGGGCTATTATCGTGAAATTAGGAAAGAAGATTGAGCCTTCTAGATTTCTAAGTTACATTTCGAGAGCTTGGAATTGGTATATAATTTCTGGCTAATTCGATGTTACAAATGCAGAGAAATTGATCCTCAAGCGTTGCGGTTCCATCGTCATGAACAAAGGTAGAAATCTCGCTTTCGCGTTCCAACATCGAAATCTCTTGCAGTTTCAATGCCCTTCTTTCTCTACTTCACGTAACATGAGAAAAATTAATTTATTAAATACCCGATGGACTGTACGCTGGCGGGCTTCCTGACGGATATCCTGATTGTACATTCGTCGCGCTGGTCTTGGAAGCTTGCTCAGACACCGGAGCCGATGGTTTGGCATTGCTCGATGTACCGGTTGCTTTATTATTAGTGTTCGGGGGTACATTCCATCCTACTTTACTCTGGGGTGCACCTGCAAGTATAACGAGATTTTATAGTATTATTAGAGGCAAATGAAATCCGACTGTGTGAAACGTGTGAAGCCATAGATGGTCATTATCTGTATATAGAGGAGTGTGACTCATTGAATTCACCAGAGATCTGACGCGTAGATACATAAATATTTGCAAACTACGGCGCAATTCACATTTAATGTAGGATGATCATGAAAACGTTTGATCTGATGCATCACACACGTGGGATTTTCCTTCCACTTCATTACAACATATATGAATAATATAAAATATGATGCAATAATAAAATATATAGTGGAAAAAGAATATATATATATATATATATATATATATATATATATATATATATATGATGATAATTATATCTAAAGACACGTGTGGCTATAACAAAATAAGAGTAACAGGATATAAATAAAAATATATGAATATGATAAATATACATATATGTAAAAATATAAAAATGAACACACATAAACGAATATAATATTTTACATGCCTGTCTGTGTCCGAGGTCGTTGTGTTGTTACTCTTTGACCGCCACCACCTCGCCGAGAACTGCTACCATATCCTGCTGATCCTGATGAGCTACCGCTTCTTCGTCCGCTTGTTTTACGACCATCTGTATCTGCTGCATAAATTATATAAGCAAACCGTTATGTATAATATATAGCTTCACAGATGCATAATCTGAGGCAGAATAAATGTGTCTTTTTGAATTTGTGAACATATATCTCAGTTAATAGAACTTTTTATCACTATATATAAATTATCTAATTATCATTTCATGAAAAAAGCTCTTGTAAATATTATATTGAGAAGAGACGAGCTACTTATAATTTTAAAGATAAAAAATGATCAAATTTAATCCAAAATTTATATAGATGCACAGAAAATTCTTTTTAAGCATTGTTGCAAGAAAAATTAAAAATATTTTGATTTTTTGTTGAAATTAGAATTGTATTATGTTAAAATGAATGGAGGTGTCGCAATTTGTCATCCTGATGATGCTTTATATCAAATATCTCGATTAAATAACTCTCAAGCTATTTATTTAAACCAGGGTCTTCTTTTATTTCTCGCGATTCGACAAGGGTACAGATTATCATGCTTATTGTTCTTCAACAGATTATTATATAATTTAGTGACAATTGTCTATTCACGTGATACTATGATATCGCGCTGAATATGTAACATATTATTGTTGCATCCCACGGAAGATGCAGATATATTCAAAGTCGATTTTACGTATATTTTAAATCGTCATTCTAAAATATATATTATTTACAATATGCTATATATATATATATATATATATATATATTTATAATAAAAAAAAAAACACATACTAAAGCTTCCTAACGTGCTAAGTAAAATATAAAAAAATAACGATACAGTATAATATTACAATCCATCTTAGATATATATACATCATAATTTTCTATAAATATATTAAAGTGAACCATATGTGTGTGAACACTTTTAAGCTAATTATAACTTTCATTACATCAATTTACATCAATTTTTATTAGATCCAGCTTTTTAAAAATAATTACGAATAATGTTAAGTACATTCTATTAATCGAGTAATCTACGAGTAGTTTTAATCATGTTATTAAGTACACTCTATTAATCGTATAATCTACAAAATTAGAAGACTTAGAGAATTAGTTTAATTTTACTACAAAAGGATACTTTATATATATAATATATATAATATAAATGTATCCATACCCTGTCCAAAGAACCATATAGAATTTTAAATTTTCAAATAACAAAAATGGACTACATAATAGACTAAATAAATTTTAAAATCCCACTTAAGTCCCTCATCTTTTTATAAAAGCGCTATCGAGATAAGTTAATGTCAGATTCAATTTCTTTTGATGCATTTATAATGTAAAGTGATTACTGTGCGTGATGATGCCGTGATGAGAGAGCAATTTTCGTTAATAACTTCCGAGACGCACATATATATATACACATAAAGTATCATCGATACAACTTTGTAACTATACGTGATTTTTAGTGAATTATAATTTTTTAATTTTTTTCGAGAGAATGTATATTTATTTACTTTTACGATATCTTTTTCTCTTAAAATCAATATTCTCTTAATCGTTATCGAAACTTTGACTAATTCATTCTAAATTAAAGTAATTCTTATATATGTAATTTTCTCTCGATGAGAAACTTCAGTTTATCAAGTGTACTTAACATGATAAACGTAATAACACAATTATAATAAATGCTGACAAGTGAATAATATCGTACAGAGAATATATGTTCGTGATATGACGTCTGAGTAACGTGGAAGAGCAATTTGCTCCAGTGATTTCACTTATTACGCGCTCTATATTTGTTAGTCGATTTATCAGTACTGACCATAAGTGTGTGGGAATTTTTGTCATTTTAAAATTTATTTAAAATTTTCCCAATTTGCTCGCTATTTTATTGCTTTATTAAGAACATTTTTATATCGTTGTAATTTCTTTTTAGAAAATACTTCTCTATTTTCCTGTCGTGTTATTTTTATTCATTAAAAATCTGCATTCCATCATTCGATTCTTATGTATTTTAACATGTCGAAAATTTCGAAAGATCTTTAAATAGCTTGAGAATAACGTGAATAAATTATGAATCTGAATAAACTTTGATTTAAAAATATATATATATATACATATATATATATATATATATATATATATATATATACATGTATGTTAAAACTTTTTTAAATATGTTACAGACATATCTATTTATTAATAAAAAGCATCTTTAGTGCGAGTGCAAACGACTTCTCTAAAAATTCACATTTGTTCTTTATACAGTAAAATTTTATAATTAGTATGCGAAACAAATTATTTTCTTCAATAAAATTACCACAATAATACTCGAGCTATAAATTAACATCAGTAATTCTAGAGTTACATGATCGAAAGTGAATGGGTTCCTAGAAAACTAAGCTTCCACGTATGTGCTACTAATATGTAACACATTTTCACTAAATTTTACATAAGTTTTGCTTAAACAAAATTTTAATTAAAAAACGCAGTTATCAAAATTATTTTCATAATTTATGTATATATAAGAAAACAACATTTATCAAAATCTTTACAAAAATATAGATCTTAAATTCAAATTCAAGAATTTTTTGTGTTTATCTGATATTGTGCAGATGCACGTGCATATTTCACTAATCAATTTATTACATGTCTTTTAATTTTATAATCTATATAATTATACAATATCGAACTTTTAAAGAATGTATGAATAAAATTACCGAAAATAAATAAGAGCACAATCACGACGAGCAGGCTCGTTCTGATTCTCATATCTGTCGTCATTCGCTTCGTTTCTATCGAATTGACGCGTTGGTCACTTAAAACTTCAAACAACCGTCTGACACGCACTGTTTGCTCACACAGAGTCGACGTGGTACTACTGGTCGACCTTTAGCTCTACACGCCGGTGACCATCGTCCGTAACATTGAATGATTCATCGTAGGCTTTCTCTTCCCGCTGTTCCTCAGCGCGCAATCTCAGCTGAATCCCATCAACGGCACAATTTTCGATTTGACATAACAATATTGACAGCATTGCGTTTTGAGTCTTCACGTACACCTTCATGTTCTAAACAAACATCAAACCTTATAATATCTAAATATTTAAGTATTTAAACTCAGAGAACATTCGTGAAAGTTTATATCAGATTTCACAGATTTCTTATACTTTCTCATTGAATCTAAATCTACAAATACTTTAGTTAATTACGATTAGGAGCTATATCTCATTTTAAATTCATTTATAATTTTTTTTGTAATTAACAAGCAATTTTGAAATTATTTTCATTAAAAAAACAAAAGTTTGTTTTCTACAATTTTTCATATCTGACGAATATTTTAATGGCTATAATTCTGTTTCAGAAAAAATTGAACTTTGCATCCTTGAAGAGACCTGTGAAGTAAAGGGCGCAATTATACTGATCAATGTAAAATTATACATCATTCTTAAATGCGACAAATGATATCACTATTAATACTGTATTTAATTCTCAAATGGTACATATGAGTCTCCGGAAATCCGTTTCGATCTGCGCTAAATAATATGTTAGATTCTACAAAAGATAAAATTGACATATTGAGTTCTTCTAGAAATATTAAATTTTTTTTCAGAAGTAGAAAAGGATATATAGCCACACAAATTTTAGATAATAGAGGAGAACAGAAATATTTGTGGACATTAATGATTGCAAATTTAATATTTGGCAATTAAATTAAAAATTAATATATTGTATTATTTTCATTTACGCAGAAGAAGTATTATTTTGTTTATACGTATATAGGGCGCTGCAAAAATTATTAATTAAGATTAATTAAGATAAATTCTAATATTATTATAATAAAACATTTCTATATTATCACATTATAAAAAATAAGTATTATTAAAAATTACATTCTTATTTATATATATTACAACAATTCTTTCATTAATATATCTTCTATTATAAAATTATCTACATATACCCATATATAAGAACCCCTATATATACATATAATAATATGTATATAGTTCGATGATAATTTATATTATTACGATGGCACATATATTTATAAAGAATTAGAAAATTGGAAGCGCTAAATCTATGAGGTCTTTTCCGTAATATCTAAACGAATGAGTAAAAATATTAAACTTAGCTCCGCCAAGAGAAACGGGACATAAATTATTTGTTCTGGCGTAAAAGCATATAGTGTATAAAGACATTTCGAGCTCCGGAAGCGTACCCACAAATATTGTCGCGTTTGGTCTAATAACATCATCCATTTTAAAGTTCAACTTCAATAACGAGGCTCTCTGAAAAGAGTAAATGCAATGTAATGTAACATATTATAATAAACACATAACTAATTACAACAAACATTACGCATTTTTTCATTCTTGCTGTATATGCCATTAAAACTCATCACCCAATATATCGCATTTAAGTTTATATAAATTATACGTGTATAGTTTTTTTTATGTATTATGTCATCTACTTATTATATATTATATGATAAAACTTACATCGCCGAGTTTCAAAGTGTCAACGTATCCCAAATAATCAATACGTCTCTTCGATTCTTGATAATCAAAATAGATCCAGTCTTGTACACCAAGAAGATCCGCGCCATATCTTTCAGATGTAAACACTCGTTCGAAACCTGAAGTAGCGCCGTCGAATTGAGTAAACCAAATGTGCCGCAGAATATCCTTTTTCTCGAAGTCATCTGGATCGATGAAACCTCGATCTGATAGCCATTGCATAGCTCTGGTCATTACATTTGTATTCAAAAACACGTCCAACAGAAGATCCTCTTTCTTCCGCTTTTCAAGCGTTCGATTCTCCTTCACGGTGGAATTGTGTTCATAATTGTCATAGAGCGCGCGAATAACTTGAATCGTCGGATAATCGTAGACCTCTTGTTGCGTGTAAAGTAATCTAAAAATGAAAAAAAATGCGTAGCAAAGGTTTGAAAACGTATAATATAATAGTACAATAAAGTGAATAATCATTTAATCTGATTTAAGAGTAAAACTTACGGTCCTTTAGCTTCATCGGTAATATTCTCGGATTTACTCTGAACATGTATTGTCAAATATTTGGATATATTGACTTCTTGTTTCGCGAACAATTCTTCAGTCAACATCATTAATTCATTGTCCGATATCATATGTTGAGGAGAATAAACAATTGTTCCCTCATCAGGTGAGTTTTTATTATTTACTGTGTTGCCAGTGGAAATTTCGGCAGAAGGTGCAACTGGAGGACCTCCCATATTGTTGGTCATACGCACTGCATTCATGGAAGCGTCATTACTAACTGGATATGTTACGCTACTGTTGTTTCCGACTGTGATAGGACTTGATACACCCGGAGTAATAGCTGGATTGTTTACCGAACTTGGATAATTAACTGGATACGTGAGTGGAACATTTCCCTGACCCTGAGATACATTCGGCAAAGCCGGTATCGAAGGAGCATTGTTCGGAGCAGTGTTAAAATAATAATTATTATGAGTTTCATGCGTTTCGCTTGTAGAACTCACTGGCCTGCCATAATCAGATGCATAATGATGATGCGGATTTATTAGCCTATTCACGCCAGCATTGATAGTGGAAAACACGAGGGCTTCTTTCACCATCTGACCAAAGCCTCTACCGCTATCTTGTTGACCAGCCATTATGATTGTTTGTCCAGGTATATATGGCTGCGCCGCTGGTTGTGCCAAGACGTGTTGTTGAGGATAACTATGTCCGGCTGGACTGTATGTTCCGCCAACCGGATGCGTAGAATAAGGATTTCCGAACGTACCTGGTACAGGTGGTGGAATATGCGCCGGGTAATTGGAGGAATGTCCGAATGTTTGACTGGGATTATATGTAGAATGGGGTTGATTCATGGAATGACCGAAAGCTTGATTTGAATATGGAGGAGGATATGGATTAGAACCGGAGACAGGATAAGATGTTCGTGGAGGCTGGACGGGGTACGAAGGAACTGGCATTGCAGTTGGGCGTAGATGTTCTTTGAATCCGATATTAGTAGACGTTGGATAAGGCGGCGGTTGGTTCGGATTGAAGTGTGGATTGCTCCACGAAGGATTATTATTTACAGTGTGGGACGGATTGTAGGGCGTGTTTGGTTGGCCAAAAGAAGTCGGTGCTGCAACAAAAATTATAATATCATATTCATATTAATTTTATTTATTGTTATATATTTCATTACTATAATTTATTATTTTAATTTATACTAATTTTATATTATGTTTACTCTATATTTATTATTATAATATAGTTAATAATTAGATTACTTATAAAATTTTTATATAAATTCATTACATTCATTACAAGTTCTCAAAGGTTATTATTTAGTTTAATTTTTATCTTCTCTTTGAAAATCAAATTCTCATGCTAACGGTAAAGAAAATAAAAGATATAAATACCATGACTTTGTGAAGGTACAGTAACTTTTGATAAATGATCAGCCGACGGAGCTGATGGATTATATGGTGCAGATGGATTATGTGGCGCAAAATGTGGCGCCGATGGATATGGTGCAGAATTTTGTTTATTCTCTGGAACACTTGGTTTTCCTACTTGACTCCCAGGATAAGTTCCTGATAAAATATAGTACAAACAAATATATTATCTTTTATACATAACAGAAAAAAGGAAACATAAAAACTCGTATGAAAACAAACATAAAATAAAAATTAATTTTTTTAGCATATATACTTATAAATAATATATATATATATATATATATATATATATATGTATATGTATATATACACACACACCTGCATGGCCATATGGTGTCGATGATTGACTAGATGGTTGTGCGGAATTGGTTTGAGCTTTGTACAAATAAAAAATGTTTATATCACACATTATTCAACGAAAAATAAACATTTTACAATTGCTACATATATTTTTGCTGTCACTGCACTTACAGGGTCTACCAGCGCCTCGTTCAGAGTGTAAGATAGATGCTGACATGTCTTTATTCTGCTGATGCGAAGTGTGGCCTGCAATTTTTAATATCACATATATAACGCATCATCATTCTATCTCTTATTTTGTTATATATTCATTATATACTCACTCGATAAAGTTCCAGTCGAACTTGTTCCTGTCGTTTGTCCGCTCGATGAACTTCCATATCTAGTGGAAGAGCTAGATGGACTTCCATATCTAGTGGAAGAGCTTGATGGAGTTCCATATCTAGTAGAGCTTGAACTAGATCCAAATGAAGTTGGAACATGCCTACTCGAAGAATGCGATGACGAACCTCGCGACGAGGAATACGAACCCCCTCGTGATGACGAGATTCGAGAGGATCCAAATTTCCCTGCGTTTACATCATCTGAAAATAAAATATGTTCAGGTCTACAATAAATTTATGTATACATGATTACTATTGACAATAAAAAGCTAAGATATATTAAAAAGAAGCTAAGATATACTGAATTATAAAAAAATATAAAAATTTATTTAAGATAATGTGTACTGACAATGAGATTATCATTGATATAATAAACTATTATTTGTAAAAGTTTAATCTATTAGAAGGAGAGTCCTTAATGAATAAAAATACTTATTTGCTTTGACTCATATATAATAATACATGAAATTATTTATAAAAATATATACTTTTGTACTCACTTTTGATAAGAAGAGTGAAAAGAAAGATAAACAGTAAAATTCGAATTTCCATTGCTATATATGGGAGCGACGATACTTTGATGAACGGTCTGATGAAACTGTTGTGCTTAGTATAAAATGTTAAATATATACGTTGTTCTGGCGTTTATCAATCCTTCTTCTTGGAATGTGTATTGCGTCTGTTTCAGAACGATATAACACGTTACGCTGTTGACCTTTTGACCATCCATCAATACAACTAAACACTCTCAGTATAATCAAAGCTGATAAACGCTGATATCGTATACAAACTGGTTTCATATTAAATATCAACACTATTTCTACAAAAGTTTTTAAAAAAAACATCTTCTAATCATAGGACTTTCCATTCCTATTAAATTGAACTCCAATAGTAGATTTTTGCTTTATTTTCGTTTAAACAAAAGAAGTATTATTTTATTTATACGTATATAGAGCGCTGCAAAAATTATTAATTAAGATTAATTAAGATAAATTCTAATAATATTATAATAAAATATTTCTATATTATCACATTATAAAAAATAAGTATTAATAAAAATTTACACTCTTATATATATATATATATATTTCAACAATTCTTTCATATATGTATATAGTTCAATGATAATTTGTATTAATACGGCGCATATTTATATAGAGTTAGAAAATTGGAAGTGCTAAATCTATGAGGTCTTTTCCGTAATATCTAAACGAATGCGTAAAAATATTAAACTTAGCTCCGCCAAGAGAAACGGGACATAAATTATTCGTTCTGGCGTAAAAGCATATAGTGTATAAGGACATTTCGAGTTCGGGAAGCGTACCTACGAATATTGTCGCGTTTGGTCTAATAACATCATCCATTTTAAAGTTCAACTTCAATAACGAACCTCTCTGAAAAGAATAAATGCAGTTATAACATATTATAATAAACATATAACAAATTACAATAAATATTACACATTTTTTCATTCTTGCTATATATGGCATTAACACTCATCACCTAATATATCGCATTTAAGTTTATATATAAATTATACAATGTGTATGGTTTCTATATTATGTCATCTATTTATTATATATATATATATATATATATATATATATATATATATATATATATATGATAAAACTTACATTGCCGAGTTTCAAGATGTCGACATATCCCAAGTACTCAATACGTCTCTTCGATTCTTGATAATCAAAATAGATCCAGTCTTGCACACCAAGAAGATCCGCGCCATATCTTTCAGATGTAAACACTCGTTCGAAACCTGAAGTAGCGCCGTCGAATTGATTAAACCAAATGTGCCGCAGAGTATCCTTTTTCTCGAAGTCATCTGGATCGATAAAATCTCGATCTGATAGCCATTGCATAGCTCTGGTCATTACATTTGTGTTCAAAAACATGGCCAACAGAAGATCCTCTTTTTTCCGCTTTTCATACGTTCGAGTCTCCTTCACGGTGGAATTGTGTTCGTAATTATCATAGAGCGCGCGAATAACTTGAATCGTCGGATAATCGTAGACCTCTTGTTGCGCGTAAATTAATCTAAAATAAAAAAAAAATTTGTGAAAAAGATTTGGAAACGCGCGCGCGCGCGCGCGTATAATAGTATATAATACAATTAATAAATTGAATAATCAATCTGATTGAATAATATCTAATTTAAAGCGTAAAACTTACGGTCGTTTAGCTTCATCAGTTACATTCTCGGATTTATTCTGAATATCTAATGTCAAATATTTGGATATATTGACTTCTTGTTTCGCGAACAATTCTTCAGTCAACATCATTAATTCATTGTCCGATATCATATGTTGAGGAGAATAAACAATTGTTCCCTCATCAGGTGAGTTTTTATTATTTACTGTGTTGCCAGTGGAAATTTCGGCAGAAGGTGCAACTGGAGGACCTCCCATATTGTTGGTCATACGCACTGCATTCATGGAAGCGTCATTACTAACTGGATATGTTACGCTACTATTATTTCCGACAATCATAAGGCTTGATACACTCGGAGTAATAGCTGAATTGTTCAGACTTGAATAATTAGCCGCATTTGTGAGTGGGACATTTCCCTGACCCTGAGGTACATTCGCCGAAACCGGTACCGAAGAAGTATTGCCCGAAGTAGTGTTAAAATAATAATTATTATAAGTTGTATGCGTTTCGCTCGTAGAGCTCACTGGCCTGCCATAATCAGATGTATAATGATCATGATGCGAATTTATTAGCCTATTCACGCCAGCATTGATAGTGGAAAACACGAGGGCCTCTTTCACCATCTGACCAAAACCTCTACCGTTATCTTGCTGATCAGGAACCATTATGACTGTTTGTCCAGGTATATATGGCTGCGACGCTGGCTGTGCCAGGACGTGTTGTTGAGGATAGTAACTATGTCCAGCTGGACTGTATGTTCCGCCAACCGGATGCGTAGAATAACGATTTCCGAACGTACTTGGTACAGGTGATGGAATATGCGCCGGGTGACTGGGATGTCCGATTGTTTGACTGGGATTGTATGTAGAATGAGGTTGATTCGCGGAATTAGTTGGAGCTTTGTACAAATAAAAGATGTTCATATCACACATTGGTCAATGAAAAATAAATATTTTACAATTGCTACACATATTTTTGCTGTCAGTACACTTACGGGGTCTACCAGCGCCTGATCCTTCATGGCCATATGATGTCGATGGTGCGGAATTGATTGAATCAACTTTGCACAAATAAAAAATGTTTATATCACACTATGTTCAATGAAAAATAAACATTTTACAATTGCTACACATATTTTTGCTGTCACTACACTTACGGGGTGGTCTACCAGCGCCTGATTGTTTATAGCCATATGGTGTTGATGGTGCGGAATTGATTGAAGCAGCTTTGTACAAATAAAAGGTGTTCATATCACACATTGGTCAATAAAAAATAAATATTTTACAATTGCTACACATATTTTTGCTGTCAGTACACTTACGAGATCTAACAGCACCTGATCCTTCATGGCCATTTGATGTCGATGGTGCGGAATTGATTGAATCAGCTTTGCACAAATAAAAAATGTTTATATCACACTATGTTCAATGAAAAATAAACATTTTACAATTGCTACACATATTTTTGCTGTCAGTACACTTACGGGGTCTACCAGCGCCTGATTGTTTATAGCCATATGGTGTTGATGGTGCGGAATTGATTGAAGCAGCTTTGTACAAATAAAAGATGTTCATATCACACATTGGTCAATGAAAAATAAATAGTTTACAATTGCTACACATATTTTTGCTGTCAGTACACTTACAGGGTCTACCAGCGCCTGATCCTTCATGGCCATATGATGTTGATGGTGCGGAATTGATTGAAGCAGCTTTGTACAAATAAAAGATGTTCATATCACATTGTGTTCAATGAAAAATATATATTTTACAATTGCTACACATATTTTTGCTGTCACTACACTTACGGGATCTACCAGCGCCTGATAGTGCAGGATTTCTATATCTAGTGGAGATTGAACTAGATCCAAATGAAGTTGGAGCACGCCCAAATGAAGTTGGAGCACGCCCAATCGACGAGCTTCCAGAGAATCCAAATTTCCCTGCGTTTACATCATCTGAAAATAAAATATGTTCAGCTCTACAATAAATTCATGTATACATTATTACTAATGACAATAAAAAGTTAAGATATATTAAAAAGAAGCTAAGATATACTGAATTATAAAAAAATATAAAAATTTATTTAAGATAATGTGTACTGACAATGAGATTATCATTGATATGATAGGCTATTATTTGGAAAAGTTTAATCTATTAGGAAGAGTCTTTTTTTTAATGAATAAAAATACTTATAGGTTTGTACTTTGACTTATATATAAAAAAATACATGGAATTATTTAAATAAAATAATTCCATATATTATATATAAAAATATATGCTTTTGTACTCACTTTTGATAAGAAAAGTTAAAAGAAAGATGAACAGCAAAATTTGAATTTCCATCTCTATATATGGGAGCGACGATACTTTGATAAACGATCTGATGAAACTGTCGTGCTTAGCACAAAATGATAAATATATACGTTTTTCTCGCGTTTTTCAGCTCTTCTTCTTGAAATGTGTATTACGTCTGTTTCAGAACTACAGCACATTATGCTGTTGATCTTTGACTCAATACAACTATTCAGTAAATATAGTTTGTAGCAGTTATATAACATTTTCATGTTCCAAGTAACAATTAACATGATAAATACTCTCAGTATAATCAAAGCTAATAAATCTGATATTGTGGGAACTGGTTTTATATAAAATATCAACACAAATATTTCTGTGAAAGTTTTTTATGAAAACATTTTCTAGTCATAGGATTTTCCAGTCTTATTAAATTGAACTCCAATAGTAGATTTTTGTGTAGTTAAATTTAATTTAACATGATAATATAAGTATAAATATATACATGTAAGCACTTAATATTTCACATTTTATATAATCTTATAAAAAATAAAATTTGCACAACAAAATAAATGTCTTATTTGCATATTTAAATTTTTTTATAAATATTCTGCATCAAAATGCTTGAATATAAATCGCTTAGTTTTATAAACATCCCACCACCACTAATGTTTCAGATCTTTGTGATTCATATTTTAATGTTTCAATATCTGTTTAATCTTCATGCTAACAGTACTATAATATGGAAAAGTAAATAATTATTTGTATCTTATCTTGTAGCAGATGCTTCTTTCTGGATATATCTATCTAAAATTTCTTCACTAGGATAATCTGGCACTGATAGTTGTCTAAATCCTTCATCATCTACAAAGCAGATCTCATGTCCATCCTGAAAATATAGTTATCAGATAAAATACAGATAGATTCATAAAATACATTATAATCAACAATACATTATAAGTACTTACAGGATCAGCAAGAATAATAACTCTTACTGAAGCTTTTCCCGGTGTATCTAAAGTTATTAGATCAGTCAAGATTTTGTTTTCACTTTCTTTGATGATTTTTTGAATTATTGGTTGTTCCGACAATGGTACAGAGAAAGCAATACGTCCATACGCTTTTGCATGGTTAACTTCAGTACCTAATAATACAAAATTGATTGCATGTAATAACAATAATAATAATACTAATTGTAAGCTCCATAAAAAGTTAAAATAAATGAATTACATATCATTGTATAATAACCAATTTATACTTACCAATATCTTCAAATTCGAGCTTGGTTTGGTCCTCGCTATAGCCCAACAATACACTTTTATCTTTTTTATCAAATATCTTTAATCCTAAAATATCTTTCCAATAGGCAATGGTATGTTCAAGATTGGAACTGGATAAAGTAACTTTCTCTACTGGATCTATTCAAGATGAGAGCATAGATTAAAACAAAATATATATAATTATGAAAAAAATATATATATAATAATTATGTTGATAATATAATGTAAAATTATAATTATATATTCTTTGATCACAATAATTTTATATAACTTTGTAGATCTTAAATACTCTATTGTTAGTTATTTATATGTATACTAACAAGGAAAATCATTTTACATTGTATTTTTGAGAGAAAAAATATGAAGAATACATATTTTACCACTATTAGTAAAAGATTGCTCATCAATTATATGATATTTATATCCACCAGGTGCTTGCATCACAAATTTTCCATTTTCTTCGTGCATTGGCCAATTATTGGCACGTGCTCTTTCGATTACATCTTTTGAACGAATAGTGATAGCTTTAAAATCATTTCCAGTTTCATATTCCTTGATTCCATAATTATATGTCAATTCAATGACAAAATGTGTATCCTCTGGACCATATCCTATCATTGTTTTACTCCAACGATTTGCATATGGTCTACACAAAAAGAAAGATAAATGTAGAAATTACTATCTGTCATATGGCTAATGACATATTACATTACATTACTCACCCATTACAGGCAGCTTCACATCCGTCTGAAAATTCCTCGTGTCTCAGTACCTATGAAACAATCCGATAAATTTGTAATCAATCAAATTGAATTATTCTAAAAAGAAAGGAAAGTGAAACAAGAAATCTCACCTTCATCCCAAGAATTTCGCGATAAAATTTCGCTGTTAATCTACGATCGGGTATTTTAAATACAAAATGTAACGCTCGTCCAGTAACCATTTTTCCTATTCCTCTTTTTTTTTCCTTAATGTATTTATTCTTATTCAAGATATCACGATTTTCAATAAATTTCGTAATTCTAATTTGATCTTGGCATTTGGTTAGAAGCTGGAATTTTCTTGAAGTTTTATCTGTATCAAGATATGAATAAACACGCGATAATTAGCAACTCATTAGAAATCTTTGAAGGCGCCTTTTCATAAATTCCGACAATCACGTCACAAAATAATCACTTAAATAATATCACATGACTAAAACAAAGATGCCAATTCGTTGATTTTAGTCACATGACGCCTTTAACGCTAAAAATGAAAAGGCGCTTTGACGAATCGCGTGAATTGAAAACGTCATAGCTATAGCTATACAAACCTGACAGCAGCAGACGACAAGAAACACAGAGGAGGCAGAATTGTCCAAAGTACCATACATACTTGATGATAGTGAACTGTCAATCAAAAGAAAGCAGTTTTGGAATATAAATATTATTTACAAATAATTTCTTTAATAGATATGATAGAGAATCTCGCAGCAAAATTATGTTTACTTCTGTCGGAAAGTGCCAATGCAGGTGATTACATGAATTATGATTTTATTAAAAACAGAAAGTGAAAGAATGTATAAATTTTTGGAAAATATTGATATATATTGCAGTTTATTCTTATATATATTTATAAAACATATATATATAGAATATTGAGTAGAACATCTAAAATAAGAAAGTATTTACAATCCAAAATGATGAATCATATAATAAAGAGACTGAAAACTATTTATTAGGAAAAGAGATAATGTTCTTTGTCTTTTCAGCCGAACAATGGAAGCTACTGGGACAGGAAAGGATGGTTCGATACTCATTGGTTGGGTAGAAGAATCGGAAAAGAACACTGTACATACATTGTGTACTGTACTCGGTCGTTACGACCAGATTAACAATAAATTACAGGTAAGAGAATTATCAAGAAATGTTTATTTATATTACATAGAGGATATTTTTAATATCACTTTGATTATATATTTAGATATTACACCGTTTTCCGGAGGTATTGAATATTGTTCAAGCTACAGTCAACCAAAGTCATAGTTTATTAGGATATGTTACAAAACAAAAGGATTACTCGGAGACAGCACATTCCTGTGAAAATCACTGTTCAGACAACATAAATGCAACTGATGAACATTACAGAGAATTATACAGAGTGTTTATTGTTGAATTGATGACTGATAATGCCAAAATACATAATCTAGAGATAGAGAGGTCTAAACAAGTGAGGATACAATTTCTGTATAGAGAGAAAGAACAACCTGATGTAGACAAGTTTTTAGTGCTAATACATCACGAATGTAAGTAAATTTTATTTAAAAGTATGTATCTTAAATAGATGCTATAATATTGCACTTATATACATTTATATAGCTTGATCAAGCACTGCAATTATAAAAATAGAAAACTAGAATTTGAAATATATAAGTCAATAATCTGCTTCATTTATTATATTAATTATCTGATGTTTTTATAATTTACATCATATATATATCTCTTCAAAGGTGTCATGATATATACTGTTCAATTCGATACATCTGTAAGTGAATTAAAACCAATAAAAGAATTAAAATCTGAAATTCTTGTAAAAACATTCATATGGGCGCAATGGGACATGATTAATCAAGTTCTTTATCATATACATCATCGACGAATACCTGCGAGTGTAGTTACCGAGAATGACGATGAAAATAATTCTAAATCTTCGAAACCTACACTTAGTGGTCTTCAATTTCATGATGATTTGCCCCATGAGACAGTGGTGAGTACTTTCCGATAACAAGAATTTCAATTATAAATTTATCACTGTTGCAATACTAGCATATATAATTGCTAATATAAAAGAATTAATATAATATGCTTATTAATAATGCTAATAAATTTAGTATCTAACACGTATGGTTGCTAAATTAAACTTTGAAATCTGCATGATGTATATCATCTATTAGTATAACATTTGTTGTATCTTTTTAGCTGAATATCCCATTAAATTTACCACTACTGTCACCGTCCTCTAATTGCGGCACTTATGAGGACGACGTAATACCTCTACGAGTTCACGATTGTTCCCTAGATCTCATAGTAGTGTCGGACACCAAGGGGATGGTCTGCGTTTGTCATTACTACCTCTATCGGCCTGTCCAGCCGCCGCAGCATGTACTTAACTCCTTGAACGAATCCAACACGGTGCACTTCGCATACTCGGTGACGCTGCTGCATCACAGCTGCGTGATCCATTGCGTTATACCGGGTATAACGTGGTCGCGCGCCAAGCTGATGAGACCAACGTTCGCAATTTATGAGAGTCATCATATGATAGTGTTCGTACCGGGACTGTTTACCCATCTTCTTGAGATCGGTGTAAATCACGAGCCATGCTGCCACATACTATGCGGCCCACCGCCGTCGATTCCGTCTCGCGTTTCCTACCTGGTACCATTATTGGATTTGGAAAATATCAACAAAGGAACGAGAAAGAATTCCTATAGTTCAGACAGCAAAACCATCGGTTGTTCGGATGGGAACAGTTCGCTTACGAATTTCAGCAGTATACTGACGATAGACTTGCCTACTTTGGATCTCGTGCCGTTGACGATTCCTCCGGACTTTCTCGTTGAAGTCTTTCGCAAAGAGATCTCGGTCGAAATTCGCTTGGGAATACTCCATTATTTTCTCTGTCATAAGAATGACATGGAAGTCATCGCGGAATTAATGTCTATCGTGGCGGAAAAACCACGCTCACTGGACATCACGCGCTTCATGCAAGAGATTCTTATAGGTGGTTCTTACGCATTAGTGCAAAAGAATCTCCTCGCGGATACCATTCCGTTGCTTTCTCTATTACCCGTCACCACGATCGGAGATTACATGACGGTCGACATTAAAATGAATGATTTGGATATCACGCTGAGCCACGAGAAACTCTGGAATACATCGGTGATGTTGCTCTCGCCGCAGCAAAGACTTGTTCCCTATCGTAGCGATCTATGGACTAGACTGTGGGATCAATTGAGTAAAAATGGTGGCGATAAATTAAGATTCAAACCTAGCCATATCGCGGAGAAGTTATTAGTCTCCTTAGCTTGTTATCAACCAGAAGCATTATCCAGATGCAGCACTCCAATGTCCCCAAGCGGAGGGTAACACAATTGCCTTGTACTTTAATTCTATGCACAACTAATTGCATGCATGTTATGTAGTGCAAATTCTTAACTGTGCTATCTGCTTGTTGCTATTTTTCTACAATTAGATTATTATATATCAGAATATATATATATATATTTTTTTTATTTGCATAATTAAAAAATGTTTATATAAATAAAAATAAAATGTCTTATTTGTTTGAGAAATGCGTTTTTTGCAATATGTAATAAACGATGATGTAAATAGATTTGTTGCAGTACCGCTTGGAGACTTTATGGGTAATCGGAACATCAAATTGGATTCAGGTTTACCATTTAATGAGACTGAAAGTTGCACCGCTTCGAAGCAGGAACATATCGTCTCCGTAAACTTACGTGAACTCTCCATGTATCTTCTGAAAAATGGGACGCGCACATCAACTATGCACCCGCGAGGCTCTTGCACCCCGTTACACGTTCATGCCATGGCTACGAGATACGTGGCTGCGCAATTGGAAGCTTCGCGTATATTATGTCAAATACTTTGCAAGGCGGCCGGCGTTGATCCTAGAATCGAACAAGAACGTGGCTTTAATCTTGTGTAAGATGCACAATTTCTATTTTAGATATATTACTCTATTTTAAAAATAGATAATAAAATAATGATAATAAAATATCATCTTTATTTTAGATATATTATTTTAAAAATATATCTTTAAATATATCTTAAAAACATATCTAAAAATATTTTTAAAATACATGTAATTTTAAATTAATTCTTCAATTTCGATTTGATGTAAAAATAATGTAAATTTTTTATGGGATTTATATTTAAAAATTTTCTTTTATCAAGTAAAAATTGTTGAGCGTTTATATAGTTCATTATTATATTGAATGTTCTTATTTCATGTTACTTTTTATTACAGAGATCAATTGGATGAGGCAAGACGATGGTTACTGTTTATGCTCTTGCAACGATACAGACATGCAGTAGAGAACATCGCATTCCCAGTGCCACAAGGATTCGCATCGTTTTTTACTTATCTTGGCTACCGCACTCTCAAGTACTCGATGTTTCTGCAATATGTCGAACGTTCGGTGTTTGAACTCCAAGTTGATGTTACCAAGATTATTTTAGCTGGTATATATATAAGCAAAAATTGCTATATTTATAACTAACATTTCTCCAAACATAATTCAAGTAAAAGATTATACTCACAGAAACATTTGTCATAAATTGATGATCTTCTGTTTAGATATCAGTGATACAAAAGAGAATGTTATTCAGAAATTGAAGTTGTTATCCTTTTTGCCAAGATCTCGTGCAAAGAGGCTCTTGAATCAATGGCTGCATCCAGTTAGCTTAATGCTCCGAGCCAGAGAACACGCCGCTAATATTTTGTGCGGTGAAGTATCTCAGAGTCGAACTGGAAGTCGAACTTTACAACATCGTAATCATCATAACAGTAAGTTACAGAGTTTAGAAAGAAATGATATTTCAATAAATACAATCTAACTGATATTTGTAAATTGTTGTCAGGTTTGGCAGCATTTCCTTCTGCAGATCGTTTATCACCATTGGATACCTTTTTGGATTTACTTACTGCAAAAGGTACAAATTAATTCACAACGATATTTTTATTTAATATACTTTCTTGTTCCAAAAATATATCAACATACTATTTTTATTTTATTTTGCAGCTAGTCTTACGGAATTGGATTTTGGATTATTGATAGAAGCAACAGTAACATCTACGGAGGACTTTCTCTAATGGAAATCAAGTTTAGTTATAATTAAAAAATATTAAGTGCAACAATTAATTTAACGATCACTAAATGATCAATTAAATAATACTTTAAACTTTTGAGATTCAGAAATCTTCTATATTCATTAAAATAATTATTAAATTATTTATTAAATTAAATAATTAAATTTTTTATTAAAATAATTATTTAATTAAAGCAATAAAATATAAAAAGAAACAATTAGAGATATATTTACAGTCACAAATAATAATTATTTTAATAATTTCCAAAGTTTTATTATTAATGATATACAAGATTTAATGTCGATAAGTAATAGTAATAATACAAATTTAATTATTTAACAAGTATTTTTTATAAGTTTATTAAGTATTTAATTAAGTATTACATATTGCAATTATGCATAATTATATTTTGAATGTTGTTGCTCATGAAAATAATTCTCAGTCATCAGTAATTGAAATGAGAAATGACAACAGATCAATTTGTAAACATTACATTATTAAAAAGCATCTGTACTATATTAATGTTTCATGTTTTTCAGGTTTTTATCGATATTTATGTGTATGCATATTGCATAGATATATTAATATATCTATGGCATATTATGTATATTTTAGAATGTAAAGCAAAGACGAATATATAAGAAAGTCATAATATTAAGTAACATCAATATCTCTTTATATCAATATGCACAACTTATATAATTTGTGACATGTAGTGAATGTTAAAAACTTGTGATATAATAAATTGAAATTTACAATTAATAATGTCTTCCATGATATACGTACATATTTATTAAATATATATGTTTAATAATATAATTCGTTTTCGTTGCTATGCTTGTAAATTGTACAGTTTCTTTTTCTCTACTTTGAGTTATTAATTATTCATAAAAATCGAGAATTTCAGAACAGTTAATTTATCCCGCCCTTTTTTATATCAGCCTCTTGCTAAAGTGATCCCCGATTAACCAATCAGAACAAAACAAGCAAAGATTCCTTTATTCTGATTGGTTAACGCAATGCTCCGAAACATCTGTGCGATCTCTGAAGAATATAACCTGCATTTCGTTTCATGTAAGAAATATTTACAAATATTTACACACAATGAAGAGATAGAACATTAGAAAATATAATAAAAGAAATTTAGACCATGCAAATGTGGAATTAATGTTCATCTAACTGTAAGTTCTTTTATGACAATTTTCTGGCGCATGTATGCGTTATTTACATCTTTATTATTAATTATTTTTCTACTATAAAATTAATTTTCTACTATAATTAATTACAGGTTCTTGATAAAATCAAATTATGGCAGATATAGCTTTGACGAGCGAGCAAACGAAATTTTTGGAAGAGTGTGAAGAAGAATTTGAAAATCGTTTCACAGAAGAGGACAGTGAATTTATAAAGATGAAAATGCAAGAGCCAAAGAAACCGCCTATTGTCGATCCTTGGTATAATAAACCGCGTAGACACGACTGGTCGCGTCAGCATCAACAACAAAATCATGGTAGACGTAATCATAATTGGGATCGTCGTAATAATGAGAGAAATGAAAAGTGGGAACGTCATGCTGGTAAACACTTCATGCAGCATCGACAGAAGATGTATTAAAATATAGTGAGACAGATGCAAGCATGAGGACTTGATTGACACATGAAAATTGAACCTCTAATTATTATTGTTTCTACATATTTTTTTTTATCGATGAGTGATAAAGCATTTTTATTTCTTTTTGAAGTTTGTATAAGAAGAAATAAATTTTATATCAATGCATTTTTTTATTGATAACAAGTAATTTTATATTTTATTTTTATTATTTGTTGTCCAAAGTAACTATTAATTCTACTAACATTATTATAGGCATTTAAAATTTGCTTAAGAATACATTTTTTCAAAGTAGAAAATATTTTGCGATATTTATATCAAGTAAATAAAAAAAACTTGATATTACATAGTGGACTTTATTACAGTAAAAAAATACGAATATTTATATATGTAATATTTATGTTCAATGTTTTAAAAAATGTAATTTCAAAAAATCTCAATTATAAGTTATAAATAAATAGAAGACAAATATAAGAAAACTAACACTGAGTCAAATGTTACATGTATGTTTTAGAATATGAATGTGAAGACAGGTGTTTTCTAATATAATATTTTCTTTAGATAATCTAAGATTATACATTGCGTTTTTACTTTTATTGTATTTTTTTTCTACAAAATTAATATACGTTCAAGCATTTTAGAAAAAGAAGAGAATTCAAACATAGTAAATTTTAAGACTATTGAAAACAAACACTTTTAAATATATTTTAATATTTTAATTTTCATTCTTCTAATGATAGATACAAAATGTTCGACTGTCTTTTATTTGCCTTTTCACTGCAATGTGATCTCGATGTGTGGCAAATAAAAGTAAATAATTAGAAAATAATACAAAGGAAAAATCCTATTGTAAAAAAGAACAGCTGGTTTAGAATAAAAAAATTTTTTTTTAAATTGACTAGAATATTATAATAATATAATCTCTAATATATACATATATATATATATATATATACTCTATAATATATAATTTCACGACAAAATAATCGCCTAATAATCAGATTTGAATTTGATCCTAATAAAATTTTATGTCTTTGATTAGATGGAATTACGTATCAGATAAAGTTTACAAATTTAGAAAGCAAAAAATAAAACAAAAAAGACATATTTAAAAGAATAAAAATGTAAAAATTAGATTGTGCCAAATAATACGGTGCTCTAGTCCTTTCAAAAAAAGAACTATCGTTTTTTTTTTCATTTAGTTACATCTTTTTACAATTCCTACATAACAAAATGAAAGATATTCTCAGTCTTTGGAAGGAGGAGGAGCAGAAGAAAAGGAAGAAGGTACAATTGGATTCTTTTTAATAATAGTGACTTTCTTCTTTAAAGCGTGGTTTGTAATGAATCCAAATCCTCTTCGACCATGTTGGGTAATTGCTTCCACTGGTTCTGTACGACCTTGATCATTTTTTCCAAGACCTTTTCCTGGCTTATATCCCATTTTCTTCATCATATTTTGAATCTTCCGTGTATGTAATTCATTGTTTTTGTTTTCATCAATATTTATATTGTTTGCGCTCTCAATTTCTTGTGTGCATTCTTCTTCCTTTATATTTTCAATTGTGTCTGCATTATTCAACTTTTTTCTCTTACAATTAGTCTTGTGTGTGTAATGTCCAAATCCTCTTCTGCCATGCTGAATAATAGTTTCCACTGGTTCTACACGACCTTGGTCATTTTTTCCAAGACCTTTCCCTGGCTTGTATCCCATTTTCTTCATCATATTTTGAATTTTTGATGCATGTAATACATTATTTTTATTTTCATCAATATGTGCATTGTTTGTCTTCTCAACTTCTTGTCTGTATTCTTCTTTCTTCATATTTTCAATTGCGTCTCCATTATTCAACATTTTTCTCTTAGTCTTGTGAATATAATGTCCAAGTCCTCTTCGACCATGCTGAATAATAGTTTCCACCGGTTCTATACGACCTTGATTATTTTTTCCAAGACCTTTTCCTGGCTTGTATCCCATTTTCTTCATCATATTTTGAATTTTTGATGCATGTAATACATTGTTCTTGTTTTCATCAATACATGTATTGTCATTGCCTGCTATCTCAATTTCTTGAGTATACGTTTTCTCAGTGTCAATTGTATCTCCAATATTTAGTTTATTTTCCTTAATATTTTTGCATTTACTTATATTTTCATCACGAGTCTTATTGCTCATTTCGCTGTATTTTAATGAATTATTTTTTATCAATATCATTTTCAAAACAGCTGAACCATTCAGATGTCTTCCTTTAATGATTTGAATAACTGTACAACAATCATTGTTATCATAAGCTGACACATGTTATCTTGAAGTAATGGGCATTTTTTAAATAATTATTAAATAAATCTCTCAGTTTAATATCCTCGCCACTAGAAACATCATCTGTACCTAGAAGAAAAATTAATTAATTTAAAAGAAAATTATAAAAATTATAAAGAAAAATAGATAAGAGTAATTTCTAGTCCATATCTAGTCCATATCTTTGTATTGTCAATTCTTTATTAATGTAAGTAAATTATCTAATCTATGAAAATAGAGTTGATAATAGAATTTTGTTGAAAAAATTCAAAGATTATTTATAAGAAAAGATTAATAGAAAAATATTTAATTTCAGCAAAATTTAATGGAATAAAATAAAATTTGTAAAATATTTTTTTTGAGATATATTATATATATAGATATAGATAAAAAACAATTATAAATTTTTAGAGCTTATAATATTCATTTAAATTAGAGTCTTAATAAATACAGATTTCTTAAGATTATTAATGCTTACTGAGGAATTATAATAGAGATGAGGTCTATCACAATCGCAGTGTGCTATTTAGCACTACTTTACTGACTCAAAGTGTATCCTTTTTATAAACATTTTTCTGTTTTAAAACATTTGTAATCCACGCAGTGTCCTGACAAACAACATCTTGCAAAGAATCAAAGTAAAAGCTGAAAAATAGCAATAACAGTAATTGCCTTTATTCAAGAGTGTTCGTAAAAAATTTTACGGATCTAATAAATAAAGAGTAAATGTGTGTTAAGAGATGCAGTATCTCTCTTCCACATTTATAATACAGCTAAAATTGCGAGACAAAAAAGGGAGAAATGTAACACACAGAGTCACAATACTGTAATACATACGCAACAGTATGCAACAAAATCCCTCTATTTTGAATCTCGGTGTTCTGAATAGAGAAGCTCTTCTGTAAACTAGAATCTCCTTTTGCATTATTTTTCTACTATATATATTTGTCATATAATCATGTAACTCTAAAGAGAGCGAATAAAAGCAAGATTATTACTATTTTGTATATTAATTGCCGTGTAAATAAAATAGAAATTAAAGATTAAAGAATATGATATATTCCAAAATAATGGAAAAGCTTGGTTTTGATTTCAGAATAGAGGAATTCGACGCCAGCTGTCAAATCAGATGGATCATGTAATTAATGTAATAAGAAAATAATTAAAGAGAAAAATAAAATCTAAATTTAAATTCAAGGGAGAATGTCCTCAATGAAAGAAAATATCATCTAAGGTGCGTTCAAAAATCCTACTCGTGGGATGAAGTAACTCCTAATTGACCAATCAGAACAAAAATTTCTCTTTGTCCTGATTGGCCAATTTTACATCATTTTACCTTATGAGCAGAATTTTCGAACGAACGAAAAGGAGTGAAAAGCTGGCTTTGAAATAAGAGAAAAATTTAGAATAGAGATTTTTAGAATAAAGAAAAGGAAATCGAAAGTACTTCTAATGACGTGAAATTTGATAGTGAACATGTTTAATTCTTGATCAGGATAATTTTTTATTAAAAAGATTGACTATTGAATTATATGAGCTATAATAACAAATAAAAATATTTATTTTTGCTAGAATGTGGGCTGACACTATTCTAATTGTATTTATCAGCATATGTACGGCGTTATTAGGCGAAGGTAAAACGATACAAATTTCTTTATATATAAAAAAACGTGTAAAATTTTGTTTTAATACATTTATTTTGATGCACATTGTTTTTAGGATTGACATGGTTAATGGTGTATAGAACTGAAAAATATCAAAAATTAAAGGCTGAAGTTGAAAAGCAGAGTAAAAAACGTGAGTTTATAAGATATTTTTGCTATACACTCAAGAATATATACCAATTTATATATAACATATTTAATTACATATTTAAATACATATTTAATTATATAATAATTACGTCTATATATATATATGCCTAACAAAAATTGTCTATATAATTTTGTTTCATTTATTAGTGGAAAAACGAAAAGAAGCACATGGCGATTCTTTAGACAAACAGCAGAAAAAAAAGATTGAACGAGAAGAGGAAAGACTAAAGAATAACAATCGTGATTTATCTCTTGTAAAGATGAAATCTATGTTTGCAATTGGATTTGCATTTACAGCGCTTTTAAGTATGTTTAACAATATATTTGATGGACGAGTTGTTGCCAGATTACCATTTGTTCCAATTAGTTGGATACAGGGTTTATCACACAGAAATCTTCCGGGTGATGATTATACAGAATGCTCTTTTATATTTTTGTACATATTATGTACGATGAGTATCAGACAGGTAAATTTTATTTTAAATATATATATATATATATATACATGCATACTAATTTATATGTAACATTTTTTTATACATCTTCATTTTTAGAACATCCAGAAGATGCTTGGTTTTGCACCATCCAGGACTGCAAGTAAGCAGAGCGGCAGTATCTTTGGACCTCCACCTCAACAATTCAAATAAATTCATATTTGTAGCAGAAAGTGTTATTGATGATTATAGAGATTTTTGTACATTCTATTGCTCAATTCTAGACATTTACTCTTATGTCCAACTAATCTTTATAACATCAATTTTTTGTTTTATATATCACAAAAATTATATTTAAATGTTTTCAAAAACTGTTCTTGCTTTTTCTTAACACTTTAAAATATAAATAAAGAATAATTATTGTATTATTGGTACATAGATGTTATTAATTAAAAAATAAATTTAACATATTAAAGTTAAATTTAATTATATTTAAATTTAATACTTAAGCAAGAAGAGATAAAAGGATAAATTGGATGAAATATGAACTACAGTTTAGTACTTATTAGTATAAGATATTGAGAGAGATTTATATGAGAAATACGTGATTAAGGATTTTGTAATGCATTCATAAAATTATTGGGTCATTTTTTAAAAAATAATTGTGATGGGTATATTTTCATTAAGCGACGCTTTTATACAACACGTTATATACAAACATAATGATCAATCATATACAAAAAGATGTAATCAATATTATCTTACATAATAAAAAATTTGCAATGTAATATTACAGTAACAGGTTGAATTATAAAGAATCGTGTTATCTGATTCTATACATATCTTGGAAAAATTGATTCGAATAATATCAGATCGATTATAATTTTTTCTATTCTTAAAGGACATGTACGATTTCTATTAAATACTATTGTTCTCATTTTTATCATCATATATCAACTAAATCTAACAGTCTGTCATTATTAGAATTATTGTTTTTTTATACATATATATATTGCAAACATATTTACAAGTATAATTCACACATAGAAATTATTGTAATAAATTTAATAAAAAGTACGAGTTTATCTTATTGAAACTTTTGGTGTTCCATTATATATAGCATTATATCGAATATTAATCATTATCAATATTATTTTTTTATATTTCAGAAAGCTATTGTTTTAAGCGCAAAGAGCAGTGATGATACTGCAGATAATGTAATTTTAAAATCATATGTGATGCTTAATACAGTCACACAGATATAATTCATTTTTTCTGTGATTATCTTCCAGTAGCATGACTCTTAAAAAAATATATAGAACCGTAATCTCGGCAGTGGCCACGTATGGAAAATACAAACAAAGACACGCTAGACAAACAAAAAGAAAGTCTTGTATACAGTAATACAAGTGTGGAGGTCATTATAATTAATTTGAAAACCAAAAATAAAATTATATTAGAAAAATCTATATTTTCGAGATGTTACCTAGAGATTGTTCTTGTGCTGTCCAGCAGCCGAACCTAGCATGGTCATATCCGATTTTACAACGCATTTATATTTGACGATGTCGCATAGTGCTGTCAATACAAACCATACATGAATGTTCATTATCTAAAATCATGGATTTTAGAATATCTGCAATTATTTAATACATAATATTAATAATGTGTGTATGTGCTTTTTTCAGATAATAAAAGTAATCATTTTAATGTGAAAACATTTAATACTAAATTTGATGTCAAATTACAAATTATTATTAATTATTAATAATTTTATTAATTATTTAATTAATAATATTGACAGCACTCGCAATATTACGACAAGTCTCTATAAAATACTTATATTGAGAAATGCCATTTATATTTACAAAACTTTTAAGCGCATCAAGTATTAAATAGAGAAATTCTATCCATATATTCATGCAATGGATTTTTACAAAACAAAAAAAGGAAAAGAAAATTGCACATTATCACTTTTCTTATATTATGCGCAGTAGTTGCACGTATGTTTTTGTATCTGCTTTCCAAGCAAATCGTCATCGAATATCCTGGAGAAAGATCATTAGATAAATCAGTCTATCAATGTAACGCTGACAGTTGATCCCATTCTTTCTCTCTATCTTTTTTTCTCGCGGATATCTATCCTAATCGAAGACACTCTTCTAATCGCATATCAATGATCAGTTTAATTATATAAATATCACTCTCAATTTCACTTTTAAAATGGCGGACAGTTCACACCAGGATGAAGATACTGACATTTATCACCGACTCGACAAAAGCCATTTTTCGAAAATTGTCTGCATACTGGTGGCTGTTTACCGTTTCCTCGCCAGCCACCACCACCACCTCGCCAACCACCCCTTGGGGGTCCAGCTCCGCGATATCCCCAACCAGGGCCTCCCCTACCTCTGGTGTGCATAGGGGCGCCTCTAGGTCCTGGAAAATTAGGTCCTGGACCGTACATTGGTCCGGGCGGTCCCTGAAAATTAGGATTCATATTGTTGAATCCCATATCTTCCGGACACATCATGCCGTAGCCTTCTTGCTGTTGATTGTACATAGGTGGTGGTCCCATCATTCCTGGCGGAACCATAGGGGCCCCTTCCATTCCCTGATTGAAATTACCCGGCATATTCGCCATCGGATTCATTCCAACATCCGGTACAAGAACTTTTCCATCACCCGTTCTCCAACCACCACCCCCACTGCCTGGCATCGTTGGTGCCGGCATCTCCTGGGTCATCGGAGCTATATGAGACGGGGGCATCATTTGCTGAGGCATCTGTGGCATCGGACCCATCGTCGTTTGAGGACCCATAGGCGTCATCATAGTTTGTTGATTATGAGAGAATGTCGTGGGATAATGAAACGTTGTCACGGTTGGTGGTTGCGGCGTCAACTGTGGTTTAGGTTCTGGCCACGGTACTGATGTGAAATCCTTTTCGCTTTCCTTATTGCCCGTAAGATCATCCAACGGTATTATTTTAGGATCGGTCATCACATGATGCCGTTCTTCGTCGGGTTCAGCCGCGGAGTCTGGAATCCTGCGATTCAAACAAACGATCAGAATTAAAATTGTTGATTAATTTGAAGATTTACACACAACAATGCATTCTATAATATGATAGCAGATTTTTTACTTTGCTTTTATCTCTAATATTTAAAATTAATTTTTAAAAACTCACATAACACAAATATATTTTATATTACATTTTTATATATAGTATTCTTATATTTGTTTGAACATAATATACAGAATAAAAGTTTCATTTTATTATAGTAAAATATAAGTAGTTTAGGTTTAAACGAGCACGTTCATCGATAAAGTTGATAATTCGATATACTATTATATTGACTATAAAACTTGACGTATACTTACATGCTTCGATTAAAGTAAAGCGCTTGAAGGATGCCTTTTTCACGAGCATATTGAATATCTTTCTCTTTACTATCCTTGCCAGGCTCTACTAATGGAGGCGGTTGATCAATAGGAATCAGAGGCTTCCACCTTGTTCTCTCTTCCATTAAATCTTCGTTATCTATAATAAACAATAATTGTTATATATATTATATATATATATATATATATATATATATATATATTTTATTTGATAAAATTTAAAAAAGTTCACATTGATCCATAAACATTTTCAATCCTTCATAACCATTTTTCTAAGGAACTATGAAGATATAATTATTTTTTAATTCTCTTTTATTAATTTTTTCGAATTAAGAATTCTTTCATAATAAAATTATTCGATAAAATAAAAAAATTATATCATTTTTTAAATCTTTAATAGTTCCTTAGAATATTTGAAACAAATATAATTTGCAAGTATATATATTGATAGATATATTTTCATAATACAATTATCAGTATAAAATAAATTATAATTATATAATTTCATATATACGTACTTAATTTTCTGGCCATTTGGAATGCTTCTCTTTCGTTTTGCTTTTCCATCTGTTTCATATCAGTGAATGTTTTTGTTACATTAACTCTTTCTGTTTCATCCAATTCAAAGTAACGTATGGATTCTAAATCTGTTTTCCACCTTAAAACTTTCTTCGGTCCTTTACGTTTCTGAAGTAATAAAACACTTTTAAGTCCATCTACATATCGTATTTCGGGATAAGGACTAATGTTATCCTTCTTCAATGAATTTGAAATCACGGAACATGCATCTTCTGGTGAGTCTGAATCTTTTACCTCTTCCACATCTTCCTCAGGTGTGGGTGCTTTGAAAAAGATAAATAAATAAAAATATTTAAATATATTATTACAAATTATTATAATTAATCATTTAATAACTTATTGAATATCTTATTATAAATATACTATGTAGAAAAAATTAATTTTACTTCAACATGATAATATAAAATTAATTTTACTTTAACATGATAATATAAAATTAATTTTACTTCAACATGATATATATGCATAAAAATTTATAATATAAAATTGTATTAATAATAATATTAAAACATTATATAAATAAAATAAACAAATAAAAAATATTTGAGAATTTATAATTATTTATATGCTCTGTATAATTTTTTTTAGAGTCCATTTTAAAAAGCAAATTAGTTTATCTCTCTTGTTTCCTTGATACTTACTGTTACTTCTGCTATCATCATCATCTCTATTATCTTTTTCATCATCAAACATCTTCAAATCATCTTTATCTTTTTTCAAGTCTTCTTCACTATTTTCTTTTTCTCTTTGATCTTTGTCTTCTTCAATTTCGAGCGTATCTTGATAGAACTATAAAAAATAAATTTTACAATATTAATTAATTATTAATTATATTTTACATATGAGAAATATATTTTTAATTAAAATAAAATTAAGTCGATTCTCTCTGCTTTAGTTTATTTTTAAATTAAAGCTTAGAGTTTAAAATAATATAAAAATTCTCTCATCAATCACTCATCAAAATTTAATGCGATTAGAATATTTTGTCTTCTAAAATACGCTAAAATAGATTTTAAATTAGAATAACACTGATCAATTTGATTTTTTTTCAGTGACATCCTAAGCATATATTGTACTTGATATATTTACCTTGAAATTAGGTTTAAGGGCTACTGAAGATTTCTCTTCGACATTCGTGGGCGAAGGTGGTGGTGTACTTTCGCGATTATCAGTGTTAGCAATTTCTTGTTTCTTCGCTTCCGAAGATCCATCCTTCGTGATAGAAGTCCTACGCTTACGCTTCCTCGGTTCTTTACTCTTGGTAGACGCAGTAAGGGCGTCCATGAACATGTCACTTTCTTGTAGCATCATTGCTAAGAACAAAAATTTCGAGCATTATTCACGGATAATTCAATAGTAATAATCGAGTTAAAAATACATTAAAACAATTTTCACAAATAATATTTCAAGATATGCTGCATTATATATAGACACATTTTATATTATTTAAAAAAGAAATATATGTATGTTAGTAAGATTGCTTAAATGTATTTTTATAACATTAAAATTGAATAAATTAAAATTGTAGAAAAATCTAAATAAAGATAGCAGATTTGATAGAAATCCTCAAAAAAGATTCCGGAGAAAATGATGAATTTCTGGAAAACAATATGTTTTATCACATCCTAGATATTTATAAATAAAATATTTTTTTCAATATAGACATAACTTTACAAATGAATTCAGCGCACGAAAATAATAAAAATTGACATACATATGTCATTAAATAATAAGTCAATTACGTGATTGACTTTTTGTTTAATTTCTAAATTACACTCATTCTTGTCATTAAGTAATAAATAATAATAAATAATAAATTCTTATACTTTTTGATGAAATTTTAACAATAATTTTTCAATAATATATTCCTATAAACTATTTTTACATTATATTTGTGCGCTGAATTTATTCCTAAAATGTATGCTCAGGAATTAGAAAACATGCTCTATATGTATAATTGTTAAATATTTATGTAAGGTTTATGTTATATTTATAAATAATAATCTCGTTTCGCACTTTCGATCCGTTCTGTAAATAAACAAATAAACAATACAAATGACTTAAATAGATATTGTCACATAAAGATTATTAATAATAGCAATCATAAGATATCGTTGATTATTGGTAATTAGTATATATCTGAAAAACATCTGAAAAATGTCTTTTATTTTCCAGTAGCTGCAAGTAAAAATGTTATATATAAAAAAGCTTCTTACAGCAGTAAAGGACATCTTCCATAATAATTCGATAATTCATCTGCCAATATTAACTCAGCGTTAATTTTATGTTCAATGTATCCTGTAATAAAAAATTTAAGCTAATAAATTTTAAAAAAGTTTACTATATTGTTTTACCCTGTAAACTATAGCATATAAATTTAAAAATAATTAAGGACTAATACAATAATACAAACTAAAATATTTGTTTATAATGATGCTAATGTTATTTCAATATTTTAATAATAGTTCACATAAGCTGCGAGAAAGATAATATATAAGTGTGACATAAATGTAAATAAATATGTATATAATAGTTTAGAAATGAAAGTAATTGTACATAAATTCATTAATTGATATAATATATACAATTAATTATTAATACTATGCATTAAGTTTATATCTTTTTAGAAGCAATAAATTATTGATTAAAAAAGTATTCTTCTTTAATATTTAATACTTATTTGTAAAAAAAGTGAATGTGTTTTTCTGGAGACAGCAAATTTTAATTTTATTATACTTTGAATAATGTATTCAAAATTACTTTTATGTTATATATAATAATAAAATAATAGAATAAAGAAGCAAATAATATTAATTATATAGGAACGAATATTTCAATATATCAAATAAATGAGCAATGTACTAAAATGTCATAAATACGTAAGTTTAAATTATAAATTTCTGTAAGCTAATTTAACATATTACGATATACATATAAAACATTTAAAAATTAAGATTATATTGTATTTTTTGCATACAAATATATTTCTATAATTAATATCGAGATGTATATAAAATAAATATTATAGGTATTATTTTAAATATTTAAAAAAAATATATATATATATGAGTGTGTATGTGTATATAATCTTTAGATTTAGTTTATTATTATATAAAAATTATATGAAATAGATAACAAAATTGTAATTGTTGTATATTTTTTAAAGAAAAAATATATATGAGTGTGTATGTGTATATAATCTTTAGATTTAGTTTATTATTATATGAAAATTATATGAAATAGATAACAAAATTATAATTGTTGTATAAAATTTTTTTGTATAAAATAATTACAGGGCCAAAAAATAAAAATAATTATAGCCTAAAAAATAGAAATCATTTATAATTATATATAAATGTATACAAATTGTGTTGTAAGACAAATGTATATAAACTATACATTTATTATTTGTTATGCAAACAAAAAATAGATTCAAATTATTTTAATGACAAATGAAATTTTGATGATCTTTATTGTATTAGTGAGTACTTTTATATGAGAATGCAGTGCGCGCGAGAAAAAATAGAAAGAGAGAAAAATATATAATTTAAATATAACAACTCAAAAAATATCGCCATTCCTTAAAATGCGCGACTTAACACAATGAATGGTTAAAAAAATTTACAAATTCTATTTAATAATCAAATAGAAAATTTATCGTCCATCGTGTCCCTTATCATATAGAACTGCAGTCCCACCCTAAAATAATACGGAAATATTTTAATTCATAACAGACTATAAACAAAATATAATTCGTACTACAAATAGTTATTTTTCAAGCTTAAAGAATATTATATAAAAAAGAATATTGTCAATATTTGAATACAAAGTATCCGACTTACATCTATAAATCCGAATAATAGATATTCTAATATTAAAAACTGTTTAAGTTATATTCCGACAACGTTGACGTAATAAATTTGATAGAAATTAAATAAATTTTTAAAAGTTGAGGAAGAATATATGGGTTCCATTATTCATTGTTTTATTTCTACAGAGAAATAATCTACGATAAGAAAAAAATGACGTCTATTCTCAGAATAAATAATTTTTTGCGACTTTTAATAATATAGCGCATCAAATTGTCCTTGATGTGTTCTTCATTCTTAATTTTTAATGCATATTTATATCCGAAATTATTTAACGATACAACATTGATTTCATAAGAATTTGAATTTAGCAAGTAAATTTATATGCAATTTCGTGTTAATGACAAATTTACAAAACTACTGTGACTTGCTGACAAAATTATTGACTTATATGTACACATGTATACATATGTATACAATATAATATGTAACGAGTATAAACTATTATCTTCTGAAAAAAATTGGCGAGATTTTCATGTATATATAATAATACATATACATATTATAAATAAGTTACTATTCTTTTAAGTTACTACTACTTAACTATTACTCTTTTTCTCATATATAAATATATATATATATATATATATATATATATATATACATATATATGAGAAAAAATGTTATATATATACATATACACACACATTATATAATTAACTTAATAATAAAATGTACAAACACTTAACATCTTATTCATTCAATAATTACAATTCATAAAAATGTATATGTATATAGATACACATAACAATACAAAATAAATTTATTTTAATAAGTTACGATTAACATATTCTAAAAATAATCTGTTTACCAATTATATCAGATTGCAATCGCACACGCGATGAAAGTTTGTAGCATTTAAAAATAAATTCGAAAGTATACTCGAAACAATATTATTTGTATGGATGCACGAAAGAGAAGAATAAATAATATATTTTATTAAATAACAGCGCAAATAATATTATAAAAATAGTTTATCATGAAAGTTTTTGATTGATAGAATTATATTTCAAAAATAAATTTAAATGTGCATTTCGAATGGTAACTTTAGATTTTCTATGAATGTATGAAATCTTGAATATATTATCAATTGATATATGTTAAATAAGACAACCGTTTTGAAATATATTTATTATTAGATAATTTATTATTCATGTGTCATTGTTTGTTCATTAATGCTAAATCACATTATAATTCACAATACGAAATGTATTCAAATGTAAAAAGATAACAATATTCTACCTGATTATATACAAATATTTTGTGTTTTAGAATTGTTTAAGTAGATTAATTTGAAATTTGTCAGGATATTTAATTAGAAAAATAAAATATAAATAATTTCGAGCATGTACTTTAACACAAAAATATTTTTTGTATTAAATAATTTTACTGTTCTGATAAATTATGTGAATAAATTTTATTAATATAATTTTAATCATAAATTTAATAATTTTATACAATTTAAAAACATTCAACATTTTAATTCAACGTATATTAGAATAATTTTTAAAATTTTTAATACACTTGCTTCTTATAATTATTTAAAACAATTTATGCACTCCAAGCTTTCAAATGTAAAAAAGAAAATCAATATTAAATTAATCTATCCGAGAATTATCCAAGTTTCTTTTGTATTATAAATTTAATTAATTATATTATAAAATATATCTGTGTATATGTAAGAAGTTTGCATATATGTATCTTTCAGTTATGTTCTTTTGGTGCACGGCTTGGAGTCATATAAAAACCGTGATAATCGTGAAATCAATGTAATTAAATATGACGCGTATATATTTGCATTCATTCAGATAGTATATTTTTCATTTTCGTAAAAATATTGGGTATAAATTTCGCGACATGAATGCCGCGTAAAATAGACATAAAGTGTGTGTGTTGTGTCGCGGGTTGATGTGCGTTGAACGGTTAATAGTGTCGGTAGAAGCGCGCTACGCTGACTGCGACAATCATATGGGCAACGGAACACGTGCGCAGACGTAAAACAGTCGCAAAAACATCGGCCCCTGCATGTGTCGCGCGACTTGCAATTCTCTCCTGTTGCACGTGTCGGATTCGGACACATCGAAAATTAATTCGATTTACAGATTTTCTTCCTATTCTTTTTTTTCTTTTTTATCTAAATTTCTGTTGTGCAAATCTTATGTAATTTTCGAAGATTTTCTTTAAATACACGAGATTATTCGTATTGAGACTCTGTTGCACCAAAATTTCTCTAGCAAGAGCACAGAAATTACGAATGTAATTTGTTCCCGATTCACTTGGGATCAATCAAATTTTGAATTTTGATATTATTCGAGTATTAATTATATACATATGTATATAAAATACATATATATACATACATATAAATACACACATGCAAAATATTTTTCTTCTTCCAATACCATTATTGTTAATAACGTTACGCTAATTTTATTGCTATTTAAAATTTTTCAATAATTAATATTTTGACAATTTTACATATTGTAATACATTTTACATTTGTAATAAAATTGAAAAAAAAATATTTAATTGCGCTCAAGCTTCAAAGTTTGGCACAACTAGTCTCTTCTTTCCTATTCTTTTTTTCTATCCTAGCCAGCAATTTTCTAGTTCCTAGCTTTTTCTTTATCTGTCTCACGTTTCAATTATCTAACATATTTGGCAAGGAAGAAGGGTCTCTTCACCAAGCCGACGAAACTCGTTGTAAAGGGGGCCTGCTGTGGTCCTAAAGGCCTTCTTGCTCGAAGATGTCGGATATGCAGCTTCAGAATTCGTGCACTTTCAGTGCTACTTTCGATCCGTAGAATCTCCACGCATCGTTCAGAATATACGTATTCTCACAATATTTTCTCTAATTTGTTTGGTTGATCTTTTCTTTTTTTTAACTATTCCTTTCACCCTCTCTCTTTCTCTCCCTCTCGTTCGCTCTCTCCCTTTCTCTCTCTTTTTTTCTATTAAAGGTGATGGAATAATTTGCCCCACACAAATTTCAATTCTCTCTGATAAATATGCAAACATTTCATGTACGTACGAAAAGTCATGTAATGAATGAAAAATCCATTTTATCTATAGGCCTTGAATGTGTATTCGTATTTTATTGGCAACAAATTTTTGAGTCGATGTCATATTAGTGCGATTGTTTTAATGTAAATAAAAAAATATTACACACAAGTTTTCTATCCTCATTTAAACTCAACTTTGAAGAGTGAAGCGAATTTCAGAATTACTGAAATTAATTAATCAATTTGCACATTGTACATGTTTCAATATCAAAAATCGTCGAGAGGATGGAAATCTGGATGGGCTCACGATATATATACGATATTATTTTGTCTTAAAAGCATTTAACAGCGAGCAAGATATGTAGTATAGCAGAAACCCAAGAGTTAAGTATTCCAGATTTCTGATAAATTTATTTAAATGTTTAAATAGGATATATACATGTACAAGGGAAAAAGAGTATGAATAGACAAGACTTTGTTGCCTTACCTAGTTAGAGATTAGAACTATTCCTGTATGATGGCTTCATAATCGTTGTATCACTAATATCGAAGATTAAGAACACGTGCCCGCTATTATAGAAATATCGATAGAAACACTTTTTGACACGTTTCGACTATGTTCGTTCAATAAAAAACTATGCGTTTTTTTACTTTGAAATAATTAACTATATATATGTATATATATAATTTTGTCGAATATCGAAAAAATCACGATCTACTCGTTGTAATGAATACTTTATCGAAGATTACCTGCTATCGAAGATTCTTAATATACGAAAAAGTTCGTGGTTGATTGCAGATCCTAATGACTTCGTTCTTCTAACGAGAGATGTTAATTTTCATAGAAGGATGATCCGTATACATGAGCTGCTAATTCTCCATGCAGCACGATGAATAAATCGTTACACGGCTTATTATATCTTCTATAAGACGCTAATAATAATTTTTTGGGGGAAATAGGGAGGATGTACTATTAAGAGGTATTATACTACGGGATATTGCCTGGAAGAAACAATAAGTTTAAAGTACATAGACAAAAATAAATGTTTGATGTGACAATACCAAAAAGTCATTGAGACTATCGATAATATTCGCGATACATAAAGATATCGCATTAAATATTGGATCAGCTTGTACATCCTCCGGTAACATCCATCTGCAAACTCAATATTACAGAGTTAGTAATATGCCATATACATATAATGCAGCATGCCAATGTACAAAGTTTAAGCAGTCATTTGTTTAGTCATTATTCCACCAAAAAATAAGATTTAGAGTTTGTATAGAAAAATAATATAGAACAGAAAAACCATATTGCATATTATAAAAAATAGATAATATATAATATAAAATATATAAATAATAATAATAATAACAACAAGAATAATAATGCACGATAATAATAATAATGCATCTATGTATACTAAAGACAAAATAAAGAAAAAATGAAAGTATTACAAAACATGTTCATGTTTCATTTAAATATTAATAGTTATTTAAATTTAAGTGAGAATATATTTTACAAATAAAAACAATTATATATGTATATGTATGTGTTTGTTCTATTAACTGGAAGAAAATACAAATGTATACACGTGTTTAAAATATATATATATATATATATATATATATATATATATATCTAAGTTTCAAAATGTATTAATTTATTAATTATAAATTTAAAGTATTTCTTTTTGTTAGAATATTTATATTCTCTTTTTATAAACTTAACTTTATGTTAATTTAATGTTCTTTGCATTTACATTAATATAAAGATATAATATAAAGATGTGTCCAAAATTTTAATTTTTCTCAATATTATGTTTAAAATTTTATCATGTAAATAATTTGATTAACTTAGTCTTAATACACATAGCATAATTTTTTATTGAAATTATAGACTGCTTTAATCTAAGGACATTAGCGTAAAGTTTATATCTAGATTAAAAAAGTATTAGCAAAAGAAAATTAAATATAAGAGAGATCATGTATTAATAATAAAGAAATTTTGTATATAATTTGTAATAAAATATACTTACGTTTTGGTTTTGGTGGTATCAGTTTAATCCCTCCCTTCTTTTCATCGCTTGGTGGTGTTGTTGGCGAGTCTAGTGATAGTTTCACCCGTTTTTCCACTATCGGAATGGTTTCTCTTATTGGCGATGGCCTCTTCAAGGGAAATTTCGGAGGTAGAACCTTCTTATCAACGGCAGGATTTGGTTTCTTCGATCTCGGTGGTGGTGGTTTTACTTCTTCCTCTAGTCCCGTGGATCTAAACTTTGAATTATATGTCTTCACCGTTTTCGGCCGTGTCGTAGAGTCTTGACTATTTTTCCTATTCTCAATAGAAATGGATATATTTTTCTTCTCGGTAGTTAGCTTTGTAACAGTATCTTTTTTACTACTATCTACTTTCTCTTTATTTTCCTTCGTGCCATCTCGCGACTCAGTTGAAGACTTTCTTCCGTTTGTATCGTCCTCCGTTCGTTTCTTCGGTATTTTGCCCAACTTGGAACTCAACGCTTGACCTTGCACTTTTTCCAAAGTCGCTTTATCCTTCTCCGCTTGATCTTTCTTCTGCTTTTCTTTGTCTCGTTCCTTGTCACGTTCAGATTTATTCTTACTTGAACTGTGCTTACTGGATGAGCTAGAGTGATGTTTATCTTTTTCCTTGGAAGACTTATCTTTGCTAGAGTTGGAGCTTTTACTACTGGAACTAGAACGATGACTACTCGATTTGTGGGATGTTGAGCTGCTACGATGTGTACTGGAACTCGTGCTGTGCTTAGAAGAACTTTTAGACGATGAAGACGAACTGTGATGATGAGTACTGCTTTTCTTGTCAGAACTAGATTTCTTATCATCTTTTTTATGAGAGTCTCTATTTTCCTTGTCACTAGATTTACCGCTATCACTATTAATAATAATAATATCCTTAGAGTCTTTATTATCTTTACTTTTAGCACCTTCAATATCTTGAATGTCTTTAGAACTAACTATAGTCTGTTTCACATCACTAGAAACATGTCCTGAATTGTCTGATAGTCCAATGTCTACTGTTTCATCTTGACCACTAGTCACACTACCACTTTGTCCTGTCTCCTCTACCTCCTCTGTTTCTTGCCTTGCTTCTTGTGAAGCAGGAAGCGCAGCATCCACAGTGTTTATAACTACTTCTGCATTTGTACCAGATTTGCTTAAAACACTATTTATATTCGTGACATCCGTCTCCACCTTAGCGAGAACTTGATTACCATCGCGAATGGTAATCTTGTACACAGGAACTGATTGTGAAGACGTTGTTACAACAACAAAAGATTGTTTTTTAGTTTGTTGTTGCGTCGCTTGCTGGCCTTTACCAACTTGTATCGTTTGTGACTGTAATCTTTCTTGTTGCTGCTTCTCTTGATCTTGCTGAATCTGATTTACTGTAGTACTAGTGGTAGATGATTGCACAAGCTTGAAGTCTTGAACATGAACAGTTTCAGCAATGTCAAGAGTTTGTTGAGAATTTAATAAATAATGTTGCTGCGACGAAGGAATAACTGCAATTTGTCCTGCAGTAGTATTAGATTGCACTGGAACCGTCATGATTTGGGCTGGTACTGAATTCGGCGCCGCTTCTCCTTTGACAATTTTTAGCCACTGCTCCACAAGTCGAGTGGCTAATGTTCGTACACCCTGATGACTGCCTTCTTTTGACAAGCCTTTAATCAGCTTTGGACAATTGTTACTCTTTAATCTTTCAATATCTACTGGACAGAGTAGGAGAAGTTCTAGGAGTTCTTGAATAAGAGCCCAATTCTTGGCAAGAATGCCATCAGTAAGCCATGTGTGAATAAGATTCCATCCTCCAGCACTCATAAATCTACAAAAATAGGAATTATAAAATGTAAAATTTTTTTATTATTATAAGGAATAATAAAAGATAAGATAGCATAATTATATTATTGTGAATAATAAAATAATTATACTATCTTTTATTATTCTATTTTTAATTTCAATTTCTATCATAAAATGCTATATAATGTATGTATTTTAAAGCGAATAATCTGTAATAATCAAGCATTAAAATTATTTCTATATAGATAAATATTTGACAGATATTAAATATTGTAATAATTAATATAAATATTAATTAAATAATAAAGTATTTGTATATATTTTTAAATATATATATATATATATATATATATATATATATATATATTGCATATAAATTTCAAGTATTTTGCTTTATAAAATTATATATAAAATTATTCTTAATATTATATATAATATATAAATATAATATATATATAATATAATATATAATATATAATATTATATATAAAATTATTAAAAAAATTTAACAATTATGAAGAAAATCTAAATAACAAAATTGTACAACTCTTGACTGTCTCTATAACTATGATCTGTTTCGTATCATTAAAAACATGAATTGTCAAAAGTTCTTCCATCTTGTTTTAGTCGTATTTAGTTTGTTCAGTTTCCTCTATCTCTTTTATTTTTTGCTTTATTTTCTAATTTACTACAGAAAGCATAACTTTTATATCATATATAACTACTTTCATACTTGTACAAGTTTTAGAAAAAAAAATAAAGATGTAAGGTTCGTATCAGTAAAAATGGCACATTAAAATATACCATCTAATGGTTCTGAACCTTTTATTATTTACTCTTGCATGTTATTTGTGTTCTTTACATACAAATGTACAAATTACTATATACATGTATGTCTCAACATGCGAAATGACAAATTTCTTTTATAAAACTGCTTTTATAAAAATGTATTAATATCATAAAGAGCAATTGAATAAAATGTTTGTGAAAAGAATAAATACTCTATTTAATAACTATAAAGAGTAAAATAATCATTTTAATATTATTTGAATAAACTGAAGTACTTACTGGCTAAGCAAATCCGTATTAGTAGTTTTCAATATTTGTATATAAATGCATTTTGAGACAAGTTTTTTAGAAAACTTTGTCATTAAATTAGCTAAGCGATGAACTTCTTCTTTACTCTTAATGCCTCCTGTTGGACCCAACAACACGCTGAGGCATTTAAGTAAGGATAATGGGTCTATACGTGGCTGAAAATATAATTTAAGAATAAAAGCATTATAACGCAAAATCATCACATAAAACATAAATTATGCTCATAAATACGAAATTTAATAACACGAAAATTAAACAATTAAACAAAATACAAAAATATATGTTTAAATTTTCTTGAAAAAAATTTCTTATGTATTTTCTGATTTTTTGGGGCTTTTTTATTAAAATTTTCAAGAAACTTTTTTTATATTTAGATAAATATAAAAATTAAATTTAAAAAAAAATTTAATAAATTATTTTATTGAAATTTCATAAATTTTTTAACAATTAAGTTCTTTGACTTGTCACTTTGTGAGATTTTTAGTTATTTGTTCATAGATTACAAAGAAAAAATTAAAACAAGTTTTAAAGTTTGTTTGAACAAAAAATATTAAAAAGAACTGAAGAATTTTTTAGAGAAAAAATATTTTAAATATATAATTTTTTCCCTCCTATTTTTCAAAAATATAAAATATAAAACAAAGATTGCATAGCATATTTATTCAAACATTATTGATATTTAATATAAAAAGAGATATGTAGTAAATATATTTTAAGTATAAAATTCAGCCTTTATCACTCAATTTTTTTCTCACCAAGTACAATTCTGAACAAAAATTCTTGAAGTTCTTCAGATGGAAACAATTTTATGAGGAATTTGTTTTCAAATAAAAAGTATTATATATACTATTGCTCATCATATAATTGATTATATTAATAATTTAAATTATTGATATACTAGATATACATAAAAATTATAAGTAAATATTAGTAAATAAAAAATGCCAAGATTAGAATATTTAGAATATATCTGAGTAACTAGATACTCGACTATTAATCATCACTAATAATAGTAAAGTATATGAATTCTTTGAATATTATACAGACAACCAGACAAGATCATATAAATAAATTTGAATATCTCTACATATAGAAATTATTAAAAGAACATTAACAAGATATTAATGTTTCAACATTTAATTAACATTAAAAGAATTAATTAAATTCTATATTTTTTTAAAATTATCTTCTACATATTAATTATTAAATATATAAATTTTTTTACATACACAAAATTCATAACTTTTCTTTTGTTATCTGCTTTTATCTATAATTTTTTTTTTTTTTTTTTTTTTTATTTATATTTACCAATCATATTTAATTACGAAAATTCATAGAACAATATGTACATGCAATAACGGTGAACTGAATAATCTCATACATTGTAATTATACGGATACGTGACAACGAAAATAGAATACGAGGTCACACACACACAAAAGGAGCAAAGGTTATTGATCTCTCGTAATCGCCAAATCGACCAGGTGGCGCCATCGTAACTCATAATATTCGCTTGTAATTTATATATACATATATATATAAATTATATTTAAAAAATATATTACTCACCATTTTGCTGGGATTTTAGACGTTTCAGAGCATCTTCGGGACCAGACATACGTTCATCGTGCCTATCTGCAATGAGATATAAAATACTTGATGACTATACGAACGATTCGGATAACCGACGCACTCTTCACGCCATATTGTCAGATTCTCACAGACTCGCACGAATTTACAGGACAGACGATGGCAAATCGGAAACAAAACGGCTGATCTATTTTCTGATCGAATATCGAGAATTAATGCGTGCAATTGATCAGTTCTCCATAATTAAACCCTCCCAAATTCCTCGCTTACGACATATGGTACGCAACTCTTATTGAGCCGTTTAATGTAATCTGAGAGGAGCCGAAGTGAGCGATTACGCGAAAGAATTTCCGCGCTTATATAGCGTCCTACGTGAATTATGACTGCGTAATTACAATTATCTCGTAATGTTTCGCTAGAAATGCTGTTGCTCGAGGCGAAAATCGTGATCGTTCGCTCAAAAAGTGTTCAAAAAATGTAGGCGCAGATACGAGTCCTTGTACGGGACGAACGGTTCTTCTCGGACTAGCCCCGAATATCCGCCGCGCAGCCGCGGTGCGCATGCCCCTCCCAAGCAACCGTCCAATCCGAGCCGCGAAAGTCGCTCCCACCCTGTTGCGCGGCCAATAACGGCTCTCGTCCGTCCTCGCCCTATGACGTAGCTCCGTTCTATTTATGTAACACGATAGGAAATCCTGAAACGTATTTTTTTTTTTTTTTTTTTTTTCCGCAGACTCGTATCCGTGCCTACGAGAACTGACACTTTTTTTCTGCACTTTTGTAATACGAACTTTTTCTCATATTAGCCCTCTATTTCTTCGGGTTAGATCGACACTTATACGCGCTTACTTTTCCGAGATTTTTGTAGCGCGAGATATATCTTCAAGTCCACGTACATATATAATATATGATTACGTCATCACTACTCTCGACATGATTCACCTCGAAGTCGGACTTAACGATTAATTACGCAACGAAACCGTGAAATAAAGATAATTTTTCAGGACTTTTCGACGAAAGTTATGCTACTTTCAATCTTTTATCGCGTTTTTCTCTCTGATTGCTGTAAACTCTTTTTTTGTTTATTGGAAAATAGGAAGGCCACTCACATTTGAGAAAAATTAAATCCGTTTTATGGTAAATAAATGTTCACGTTGTATGTGATGCATAAGAAATGGAACATTTCCTATGATAATGAGTATGATTCTCGCTCGTTCTATGAAATCTTGCTGTGCATCGAGGAATGCTACGAGACCCTCAATCGCAATCCGTATATATTTCGCCGTCTATTTGCCATCTGCAATCAAATATCATTTAGAATCTATTGTTATTACCACTAAATCTGTTCTGATTCAATATTTCGCGTCTTGTTGCCGTATAAATATTTCTATCAACTTATATCAAACGATCCTCACCTGACTGCGTAAAATGTCTGTCCTTCTCGACAAACCGGAAGTGCCTTATATACAGCTATAACCTATCTCCACTACGTTAGTCAAGTATAATACATACTAAATTCATATAAATTTGCAAGTGACATTAATATATTTCTCGGTGAAAATATATAATCTGACTTGATAAATAATATTAAAGTTAAATAAATTGCGCTTACTATGTTATACTTAAGATGCAGTGTCATATAAATGCACAATGTTCTATTTAAAGCTTCTATTGATTTGCTTCTGGTATTTAAGGTGTGTTCTCAATTCAATCTCTCGCTTTTATGGACGAGCTCCAAACTGATTGGCTCTCACGTTGTGTCCTGTTTTTATGTGCGAGTCCATAGCCTAAAGCCCCTTGCACAATGCCAGGAAACAGGCAATAGGAATAAAAAATAGATATCCATCAAGAGGAGCAGAGAATAATAATAATAATCTGTCTTTTTCCGATTGGTTAATATTTTTTATTTCTTATTCCTATTGCCTGTCGCCTAGCATTGTGCAAAAGGCTTTAATCTTTGATCATATAGATACAGATAGTAACACAATAAATCATAGAACTTATATATAGAAATACTTTCTGTACTGATAATATATAGAAATACTCCTATATCTTTTTTGTTTTTTTTGTGTGACAGAAATAGAAGGATAAAGCGGGGAGCACTCTTGCATAAGCGCATAAGCATGCGCATAAGAAATTCGATTGGTTGAATTTTTTATGCATACGTTTATAGACCAATCAAGATTCTTATGCTTACGCTTATGCGCTTATGCAAAAGTGTGTGCTCCTCGCTTAATTGTTTTCTTTGTAATAAAAATAATAATGATAAGAAATAAAATAATAATAATAATAATAATAATAATAAGAGAAGGATAATTATTTTCTCTATAGCTTTCTTTTTATGACAATTATTTAAATGTAGAAAAGTGTAGAATAGTGTAAAATAATGTGGAATAGTGTAGAAAACAGGAAATAGAAAATCTCCACCAATAGGAATAGAAAAATAGATATTATCCTTATTTAACAATTCCTTATTTAACAATTTCATATTGCGTCATATTGCGATGCAGTAAATGGCAAGATTTGGACATCCGGTTGAACGGCAACCAATAGGAAGGTCGCAAATTTCATCAGTATGCGCTCGTCCTCCGCACTTCACTTCACTTGCGTATGCGTATGCTTGTCAGCAGAATAATATCGTCAGCGGTCGGCCATTGTCGTCAGCGGAGATGCGAGATATTTTGATGTAATTTCTCATCGGCAAAAACTGTAGGACACCACTCGCGTGTAATCGAGTTTCATACCTCGTCTAGGATGCACACGGTCGCGGAATTGGGTGCCGGTGTACCGGCTTTCCTTGCCAAGTTGTGGAGGCTCGTCGAGGATCCAGAGACCGACAACCTAATTTGCTGGTCACCTGTAAGTACACCTTTATTTATTTACCTGTTCACACGCGAGTTGCTCGACGAGCGACCGCTTGTCTCGCGCTGTCAAGCGGAGCGAGTAACGCGATCACGAAATAATGTCACTCGAAATAATGTCAGTCGTTGCACTACTGTCTAGAGCTCGACTCTTCGTCGCGAATAATTGCAACCACATGCGCGATGCATATAAGGCTTGACAACGATTTTCGATTTTCAATGATGCATATTTTTCTGCGTTTTACATAACATTTTGTATCACGTGCATAAATTACTGCGATTATTTATCAATTGTGTCTTGTGATCGCTTCGTTGCATCGTTTTTCTTTCGCATGCTAACTTTGTGAATTATTTATTTTTGGAATAAATGTTTATGATGCTATGTGAAACATATATAATTAAATTATTAACAGTTAAATATAAATTATAATATTATTGACTTATTTTCGTGTTGATGTTACATAAATCGGATTGATTTAATAAGCTTTCAATATAAACTGATGTAATTTATGTAGATGTATATAATAATTATTACATATTGTATATAATACATATATAATATGTAATAATTATACATACATACATTTATATGTGTATATTTAATATATTAATTAGAGATAGATATAATATTTTAAAATTATGGTAAATAATATATATTTTATTACAGTTTACAAAAACAAATAATCTTATATATTTAATATTTTTTTAGAGTGGAAAAAGTTTTTTTATCAAAAATCAAGCAAAGTTTGCAAGAGAATTATTGCCACATTATTATAAACATAACAATATGGCTAGTTTTGTACGGCAGCTAAATATGTGTAAGTTGTTATGCATCATATTAATTATCTTGAAAATATAGATAAAAAAATAGAAATTAAGAAAAAAGAATAAAAATATTGATTAAAATTTTTTATATTTAAGATGGATTTCACAAGAAGGTTTCGGTCGAACTGGGTGGCCTAAAGTGCGATAAAGATGAAATGGAATTTGCACATCAGTTTTTCCATAAAGGACAACCATATTTAGTTGAACATATTAAAAGAAAAGTGAGTACATTTAGACATGCTGCAATAGTACAATAATTTGAATTTAAAGAATAATTACAAGAATAAAGCTTGAAGTCAATTCTGAGATTTTTGAAATAAATACACTGATTTAGTTCTTTTACATATTTTGAAAGATGCAATAATATTTTTTAAGAAATCTTAAGACTGCATAAAAGATGCAGTTCTAAATAAGAATCTAAATTGTTAAACACATAAATATTACATTAATATTTTATTATAATAAATAAAATATTATCTTTCTATTAGATTGCATCTAGCAAGAGTCAAGATGTAGCTCATTCTTCTATGAAACCAGAAATAATGACTAAAGTATTAGCAGAAGTAAGAAATATGAGGGGTCGTCAAGAGAGTTTGGATAATAAATTAGGTGCAATGAAACATGAAAATGAGGCATTGTGGAGAGAAATAGCAATGCTAAGACAAAAACACTTGAAACAACAACAAATTGTTAACAAGCTTATTCAGTTTCTTGTTACTCTTGTACAACCATCATCAAGAGGAGGTGGATTATCTGTCAAGAGGCGATATCCATTAATGATAGATGATTCAAATCGTACACGTAAACAAAGTGCAAAGTTGTCAAAGGTAATATTATTGTTATTACAATGTTTTTATGTTTTCTTTTCTTTTATATACATTTATGCTATATTAATAAATATTTATTTTATAGTCACAAGCATCTCCTACAGGACCAATAATTCATGAACTTGATGCATCGGAACCTGAGTTGGATTCAGACTATATTGTTGCTGAGTAAGTGAATAGATTTATACACACACACATGCATATATAAATAAATAAAAATATATATATATATTTTTATTTATTTATATATGCATGTGTGTGTGTATAAATCTATTCACTTATATACATATAATGCATATGCTTATATGTTATGTATTGTGTGTAAAAATATGTTAAGATATTAATATATATCTTAATAATATCTTAATTTAGGATGTTAGAGACGGCAGCTCCAGTTATCCATAGCCCAGGAGAGCATAGTGAAGCATCAATAGATGATGAAAATATGGAAAATGTTCATTCATCTGAGAATCCTGTGACGATTTTGCTAGAAAATGATACCGAAGTTAGTTCATACGAACCTGATACGAAAAGAAAACGTCTTTGCAAGGGCAAAAAAAAGTATGTACAATTTATATTTTCTGCTTTATATATAATATATACACATGCATGCATATTAATATGTGGAAAGTTAACACAGCTATATTACATTATTTTTAACAAAATTTGGAGTTGATTTATTAAAAAAAGATATTAAGATAATAATAATTTTTATTTCTTGAGACATTAATTTTTATTTTGTGAGAGAGAAAGAGAAGAAGAAATGAATGTGTTTGCTTTCTATCAATTCAGTAAGATATATCATAAAGATATAAAAAGAAATAGAATATTTATTCTATCAAATTTTAGGAATACATATTCTATTAAATTTTATAGATTCTAATTAACATACAACAGATTTCATATATAATGACTGATATTAAATACTCTATATAAAAAGATACTATCTATAGACATGATATGTGTGTTTAATAATAAATAATAAGGAAATTAATGATTAGTTCGACCATACTGGCTCTTATTAATATTATTCGTCTTTATTAGATACGAAGTACACTACGTTTCGACCTTAAATTTAGGTCCTTTTCAAGTGCTAAAATTATAAAATATCAATAGTTAGCGAAACTAAAACTAAATACAAGTCAATTCATGCAAGGAGAGACAACAATTTACTTACTTAAAACAATTCTAATAAGCCACATTATTTGTTAATAAGCCACAATATTCATTATTTGAAAATGTCAAATTTTTTTACATATATTATACTTATTCAAATGACATTTAAATATTACCAGGAGGAAAAACAAGATGCCTGTCAAAATTTTGATCTCCTCATTGGAAAATGGAGGAAAACCAAGGTTAACATTTTTTTCACTTGGTGTTGGTATTCTGAGATATATTTGTAGCTATTTGTTATGTTGAAGACTATGAACATAAGCTATTATTTTGCATGAAACATCAGATTTAAATGATTATAAAAAACATTAAGATTTTGAAACTATTTCTTATCAGTTTCTAAATGATCATATAAAACATATATGAAGAGAAAAATTATGTAATAGTCAAAGCAATTCCTAAAATTAAATATTATAAATATAAATAGTTCAGAGAATATATTTGATAATCTAAGAAGTAAATTCTCATAATTTTTATTATTTTTTAGAGACCATGTTAATTTTTCAGGATTTTTAATAAGCCTTGGTTCTTTCATATAATACAATTTTATACATTCATGCAATTTTACTATCTTATATATCTATATATTACTAATTCATATTGTTTTATCATTTTTATATATTATATAATCAATTATATTTTTTATCATATTTATATATTTATATTGTTTTATTTGTTTATTAAAACATTTTTTTATTTTATTATAATAATTTTATTAGATCTTTTAGTTTTTGTCAGAAATTATTTGATTTACACATACAATATTTTTTCTCTAAATGAAATAAATTATTTTAAAACATCTATATTACAAATGTATATAATAGTTGATTTTGAACATTAATATATATAATTTTAGCATCTCGATTTATATAATTAAAAAGGAACTAAATTTAAATTATAAATTTATCAATTAATAATTTATAAATTTGTTATATATGTATTAGTAAAAATGTTCTTTATACATTATTGAAAATTTATATATAATATTTTGCTTGGACATTATTTTGCTGTTACAAAAGAATTTATTTTGTATATATCTGCATAATGTATTAGTGATAGCTTTTTTGTATTGCGATATTCTATCACTCATTGATATAATATGTTGAAAATAATTGCATGTATGTGAGTTCTCTCTTATGTTGCTTTAAAACAGTACTAAGTTTTTCCATGTTTCCATTATATTATTGAGATAAATATAGCATACAGTAGTTGAATATAGATAAGAGAAAAAATCTGATTGTGAGCAGCATTATAAAATGAAAATGAAGATTAATAATATCTTATCTTTGTTTATAGGGAAGAATTGCATATGCTTCAAATGCCCAATGAGGAAACTTTCGCTTTACTCAATAAAGAATCTGTCGGATCTAAACCTATACCTGCGGCTACTGTGCGAAGTTCTAAACTGAAAGCGATGGTGGCAAATATTAATGAATCTCAAGATGTTGAGCAAGATATTGAAAATTCAGCTGATGTGGAAGATGATATTGAAGCCTCGGACAACGATGCCTCCATGATCAAGCTAGAAGATATCCTAATTGTTCCAGAAATAATCAACAACAGTAACATTCAAAATATTATTGAGAATAAGGAAAGTGATATCAAAGGACCTAATCAAGCAAATGAGGGATTTGATCAACAGAATGATTACACAGTTGCTTTAACAAGTGATGCCGAACAGCATAACAAAAATGGAACATCAATATTTTTGCAGAAGGAAAATAATAATTCCAACACAGCAAGCACGAGTTCATCAAAAGATGAATTATCTTTGAGTTGCGTCAATTCTTCTGAAGCTAATTACAGGTTAAAACCGACGTAAGTTCAGTACAGACCATGAGTCACAAGGTTGCATTCAGTAACAATAATGTTCATTCGTGTGGAAATTATTAATAAGAGATGAAAACGTATTATTTTTTATATTTTATTTTGAATATTTATTATTGAAATAATTTTACTGAATAAAACTACATTTGTTTTCTATATTTTTTTTCTTGAAACATATAGTTCTCTTATCAATTTCCACAATGATTTTTAAAATAATTTATTTGTAGTATATATAACGATATTTATTGATTCTAACTACTTAAAAAATACTGAGCTTATTTAATGCTTAATGACAAAATATAAAAAATATACTTCTCTTTATACATTATTGTATAGTATTATTGTATTATATTATTGGATTAGATTAACTTTGATTTTGCGAAATTTTAATTTTGATTTTTTTATGGATTTGTGTATAATATTTAGTTTTATTAGTATTGATATTAATATAATATTTTGATTGCTTTATATTTTTATGATTGATTATACTCGTTGGAATACAATGTTAGAATGTTTATTGTAAAGGAAAAAGGTATTTCTCATGAAAATTGTTATTGCATTTTATCATATTAATGATTATTTTTCAGACTTTATTTAAAGTTAAAAACTATATATCATCTTGACATTTTGTATACAATATTTGTTATTTATATAATACTAAAACTTTCTAATATTATATATAGGGAAGAAATGGATAATCATCTGGAAACAATACAAACAGATTTGGACAATCTGCGTGAAATTCTGCGTGGTGAAAGTTATAGTATTGATGCTAACACTCTTCTAGGGTAAATGTAATATTAAAATTTTTGTTTTAAATTTTAAAAAATTACAATAAGAAGGACAATCTTTCTATTGTAAAAGAAAGTATATACATTTATGAGGAAATTTTATATTAATATTTTTTTCTTTTTTTACCAGCTGTTTGGTGCAGATGATCCAATGACATTCGGATTACCAATTAACCCAGAATTAAACCCAAATTGTGGAAAAGATGATGATAATACTACAAGTAAGTTTTTGCAATTTTTAATGGTCAAATACCTTTATTTCTCAATGTAAAAAGCACATAAAGAATTTTTTTTTTTTTTACATTTCTAAAAATTTCTTCATTGTTGAATAAAATACAAATAATAAAAGTAATGAAATTAAATCAAAACAATTAAAAATGTTTAATTATATACAGTTGCAGATTCTATGAATGGATCTGTTGGTGGAGAACTTATGACATATAATCGTACGCCCAATTTACTAGATTTTGACGATGATATGTTATTGGAAAATGACACATCTTTACCAACAGCATCATCAGATTTACTTACAAACAATCTATATACTTCAGATCTTTTAGATCCCTCAGATTCTTTAGACGATAAAGCTTTGCTTTACGATTCACTAGTAAAACTCTCTAGTAAGAATCTAAAATCGTAAATACTATTATTTATATGTGGTAAGTTTCTCTTTTTTATTTCTGATAGATTTTTAAGATTCCATCTTTTTTCTCTTTTCCTATTTAAAAAAATGTACAGATTTAATATGTATCAATTTAGCTTGTTTTGTCATAATGAATATTATCAAAATTTTGATTTTCAGTAAATTTTATTCTAAATGAATCTCATGCAATACTTTTAATAATAAGAAAAAATATTAAAAATAAATAAAATAAAAAATTCAGAGTATTTAGCAATCATAGAGATTCTATTAATTTTTAAAGCATACTATAATTAGTCTATACATATCTATATCATATAAAGTCCATTGAATTTGCTATCATATAACATAATATTTAATTATAATCAGATAAATACTTTCTGCTTAACAAAAATTATATTCTCTTATTAATTACAAAAAATTATAAATATGTTTATTACAACATTACTTATTTTCTTATAGTTTAGTTAAAATTTATTGATAACAATCACTAAACTTTCTATTTTATATTGATAATTTATAATTTGTAAATGCATGTATAACATTCAAATTTTTACATTTTTATATATTATGTACCATATTCTAAATGTTTATATAATGAATTGAGATTGTAATTATTATTTAATTTAAATACTATATTTTGGATTAATTATTAATTAAAACCATAATTAATAAAAATAATTAAAATCATAATTAACCTAAAATAATTAATTAAAATTAATTATTTTAGATTAATTATGATTTTTGCAATTACACACACAAGCATACACATACATATTTACTTTTTTCTTTATTATATACAGTATAACTTATTTTAGTCTATTTTTCTTTTAGCTTTTTACTGGAAACTCTACTTCAGGATTATTAATTATCTAGAAAAAATGGTAATGTAAAAAATAGGATAAAGTAATCTATTACAAATATTGCAGCATTTACTATCATATAAAATAAGGATAGTACTTGCGGCAACCGAATACCTTGCTTTCGATTACGAAATGGCACGATAAAACAAACATAATGAAAAGTATAAAGGAGCAATTTTAAATATATCACGAAAGAGAAAAATTAAATATCGAAATGATTAGTTTTCCGCGATCTTACAAATGAACAAATAGGAGAATTATATTAATAAAACTTTTGTTCTTATACTTGTATATAATTGCAAACGGTTTTTTTTGCAAAATATCTTGCAACTAACTTTATAAAGAGAAGTAAACATAAAATAATAACAGTTTTTTATGTAATGTATGAAGTATTAGATTATAAAAAAGTTTAGATTGTGATAAATCTGTGCATACATGTGTTAAAAAGAAACTGTTTTTGCTTATAAACATATTTTTTTTATTTCTTCACAGTTGTTAATTATCTCAAATAGATAATATTAATTGTAAGGTAATGAAATGTAAAAAGTGATAGTGCAAATCAAGATTTCAGTGTTTTATATGTAATAGAAACATTCTTGAATCTGTAAAGTAACATGGATAATTTTATGTATCTTGTGAATCTTTTGCAACTTTGGATATGCACCCCTTTGAATTAGAGTAACTTTTATTCTGCATAGAACTTTCTTATTTCTCATATACACAATTTAGAATCCTAATATTCTGATATTATGTCTATAATGTGCGGTTTAATAGATGTGTACATGTATAACAATAATGAGATTGTATTATACTGTACTTATGTGTGTATAACTAATGCTGATATAACTGATGTGAGAAAATTGCATCAATTTTTTCAACAAAGATTATTATCCTAGTCAGTAGACTAGTTTTTATCGAACATGTCTAAGTTTATCAAAAAACTCTGAATTGTTTAAAACACTGAAATCTTAATCTTGAACCTCTACTAAAATAAGTTTACGTGTTGCGTTATTGTAAGAGTGTGTTTATCCATCCAATATGCAGATGCACGAAATTATTTGATTTTATTTTTATGCATCTGCAATAAATGAATTATAAATCACTCGAATTGTATAGTAGAAATATAATTATATATATCTATAATTATAGATAATTGCATATAATTATATTATTATATATATATATATATATATATATATATATATATATATATTTATTATAATTAAATATTACTATAATTATTGCTTTATCATGTTAATATTCTATCTGATTTAGAGATAATTAGCTTTTTATATTTGCTACAAAAGCAAAATTAGGCATTATTATTATTTTCAGATTAGTCTGTAAAATTTGTTATGTAATTTTTATGTACAGTGAAGTGTCAGCCATATACATATACATTTTCCATTCATAAAGATTTAAACGTTAGTATTTGCAATTAAATTTCATTTAAAGAGTTAAGTTTTTTTTGAGTGTATAGATTTATTTCAAAAGAATCATTAATATGTGTGACAAGTATTTATTAATTACACTAAAATAATTAGTCATTGTATTGTTTGTGTATTTGTGTACCTGTGAGATGTGAGTATCTACTAATACCAAGTTATATCAATGTTAAATTTGTTAAAAAATATTAAATATTTTCACTTGACAACTAAAAATATGTACGTATTTAAGGTATGTCATATGTCAATGTGTGTTGATACTGCACTGTTTAAAATATCAAATTCTAACATTTAAAAGATTGGTAGAAAATGTAAATTGAGAAGATTATCAAAGATATTGAATTTTATCCAATGTCGCCTTTTATGGTGTAAATTATTTTCTTAAACTTAATATATAATAAAAAAACAATTGTTTTGAGATATAAGTAGGGGCCAACAGCAGATAAGTTAGCTTGTCAAGTTGACACTTTTATTCTTTTATCAGCCTATAAATAGGATATACTATGTTTTGTTACATAGAGTATCAAGACATACATCCAAACTACTTAATTAATTAAGAATGCTATTCACACAGGATCTTACTTTGCAGATCTAAAATATATAAAGCTCTCATATCAGTTTTTTGATTTGTACATCTATTAGTAACAATTTATTGTTACTAATAACAATTACTACTTAACAATTTATTGTTAGGTCTGTTATATAAGTGTAATTAAAAAATTAGCATAATAAAAATACTTTTACTACCACCGACAATTATGTTAAATCTGTTTGTTTACACTTAAATAAAACTTACATAACTGTTCATGTGCATTTATTTTTTTTTGGGGGGGGGGGTATTCTTTTCTATTTACCTTATATAGAATACTATATCCATAATCGAGATGCTACAAGTCTTAAGTTAATTATGAAAATACTAATAATTATAAGATCTCATTAATTTCTTATTGTTAAAAAAATATTTCTAAGAATAGATTCAAGATATACATATATTAAGACTTCACTTTTAAGAATATATTTTTGTATTTTATTCTTAATCAAAATATATATCAATGGGTATAACGTGTGTGTAAATTACATATGGAAAAAATATACAATATTCTCCAAATAAAAGATTTACTAGAGTTTAATAATAAATATATATATATATATATATATATATATATATATATATATTCTTAGGATGTGATATATCATTTCGATAAAAATTTAATCTAATTGATATCATTATATATAAAATAAAAGATTTATTAATATTTTCTCAAATATATACATGTATGTCTACTACATGTTAATTTGCATAACTATTTGTTATAATTACTAAATACTAAGTAACAATAATATAACATCAATGTTATATTACTGGTACTTATTGTTAGTGTTTAGTAATTAGTGAGAATTGAATTTTTCTTATCACCAGAAATGCTATCAAAGTTTGTATATTCAAATACTGATAAACACAATTTGTTTTTTGCTTAGAGAGTAGATTAAATCTCTCAATTCTAACAGATATATGAAATATTTTAATTTGCAATATTATATGCAACATAATAGAATGATAGTCCTAGATATTAAATTAACAAAGTACATATGGATTTTCTAATATATATATACATAATAATTATCACTGTGATTGTTGATTTTCAATTTGCAGTGATTCTTGAAATTGTTTCCTAGCTTCACGATTAGAATGCAACAATTCAATCAATTCTGCATGTATATCATCATTTTTCTTTCCAAATGATCCAGAGCAGTTTCCAAATGGTTCAACTCATCTTCTAATGCTTTGATACCTGTAGGAAAGTACAAATAATTTTTCCAATCATGCGTGTGCAATATTACAAAAATATTAATTTTAATATTGAGATTTTTTCTTCTTATTTGCAATGTCATTCTATAAATGTACTTCATATTAGTATATCTTTAATCACTAATAAAGATTATTCATCAAACAATTTAAATGCTCGTTTCCAAAATTATTTTTATGCATTTAAATATGCATTAGATATGTCATACTTTTAATTTCCTGTGTATTTATAAATTTTACAGCATTGTGTCTTAAGCATAGACACATTCTTTAAACTGTTGCAAATAGACTTACACTTTTGCGAATAAAAATAAAGATCTGTTTAATATATATTTACCGATATCAGAATATACATCTTCCTCCAGACATCTATTAATATCATTGGCATGTTCTTCCTCTTCGGTACATTCCATTTCCTCGTTGACATTATCCAGGTTATTTTCTTCCGGTTGTATCATTTCCTCTATATCTTCCTCTTTTTTTTCCTCCTCCGGAACTGGATATTCCTCTCTGACCATTTCTTTTTCTGCCACTTGCATTTGAGAATCAGGATCAGCTAGAATCAGCTGACTTTACATGATTAAAGGTGTGTGTATGTACATATATATAAAAGTCACATGGTATAATATCTTGTGACGTGTTTCTGACCAACAATCGATAAAATTTCAAAAATTTACTCGCTTATATATATAATAATTCGTATACATTATTTATTATACTTATAATGCTATCATAAATTCGTATATATATATATGTGTATACATATAAACGAGTGCATATATATATCCAACCAAATTTATTTTAATACTGTTAAATATATTAGAGATTATGCAAGAAAAAGAAAATTCATTGTTTATGCTATATTTGCGAAATATACGAGTGAGTGAATTATAAAAAATTATTTATTAAATATTTCAAAAATATATTTCCTCGAGAATTGACCACGGCGTTAGTTCACCGTTCGACATGTTGGTGTCGCTCTCGTAGATTTCGGTTCGCGCGCGAGCAGGAGCAGGCACAGAAAGTATCGGCTCGTGGAATTTTACTCGAATCTCTCCGTATTTTGCCATTATTACCGTACAAAAGTGAATCTCGTGCGTGCACAAGTATCTTTTGAGTGTCATAACGTAAAAACGTATGGTATCGCGCACAATTCGTCTTTATATTCGCGATGCCGCAATTTCGCTTCATCCGCGAGACGAAATCCTGCTCGCGCATTCCAGGCGCCATTTTCCCGCCAAATATCACGGTCCGTAATCAGGTATATATCTTCACGAAAATTATTTTTCTATATAATTTTACTTTTTTTTCTGTATCAATATTATATTTTATATCTAATAAACAATACAAACATGAGCAGATATATTTTTTTATATCTCTGTGTCTCGAATTAATTTCTTGTCTTCGTATCCCGGAGATAATATATATGCATGAAAAGCGTACTTTAGCTGTATCCTGAAAGTTACTGCTAGTACTGGAAATTTACGTATATTAATAGATTTCCAATACTTGCAGTGAAATTCGAAACATAGCCTTTATGTATCTAAATCCGATATTTCGTATTTATGTGATTATTTTGAGTGAATGCATATATTATATATACTTTCTACATTACCGACCATCATCTTGTTTGTATTACCATATTATTATACCGACGCCACCACCAGATGGCGATAGCATGTTTGAATGTAAGGTGCTTTAACGGTTGGATGAGATTATGATTATAATTTCGTAAAGTAGTAATGCGGGCGATTATAATTTCAATGTATCGAGTGATATATTTATTATACGACAGCTTCGTTATAACGAGAAATATGGAACGTGAAGAAAAATACAGGGAATATGAATGATACCATGTAGTGAGAAATAATAATGGTTTGATATTCTTTTTTTACGCACTTCTTATCGCAAAACTTGATTTTTACACATAACCTGAGATTTTTTTGTAATGTTACGCTTGTATTTTCTATATATTCTGTATATATATGCATGTTTGTGTGTACCACACACAGATACACACATTCAAACACCACACACACATCCATACACATGTACATAACATACACATATATGTACATATACATACAATGTTACACTTATATTCTGTATGCATACTATGTGTATGTACTCTCTAAATTTCTTGGAGTGAAAACCGAACAATCTCATTCCAAAAGAGTGGAATTTTACTCCAAAAAAGTGAGATTCCACTCTTTTGGAGTAAAATTCCACTCTTTTGGAATGAGATTGTTCAGTTTTCACTCCAAGAAATTTAGAGAGTACATATGTGTACAACACAGTATACACACACACTATACACATATACATATACATATCATACACACAATGTTACACTATATTTTGTAGATAGCATGTGTGTGTCTACCACACAGCACACTACATACATATACAATATTTATTCTTACAAAATAATGCGTAAACATTGCTTACATTTGAAGATGTATTGTACTTTATTATTATTAAATATATATTGTTATCTTACACGTTTTCTACATTTTTTTAAAGAAAGATGTAAGATATAATATAAAAGAATATACTGTACGTTTTTTTATATCTATGAAAAAACATACATTTACATTTATGAACTGAGAACTTGAAATTGACTTTATTTTTTAACACAATTTTTTGTTGTTGAAATTTATATGTTCAAACATATATAAAGTTTATACGATAATAATATTTTATATAATATAATATAATTTTATATAATATAATAGCATATATAGCATGTTTTATTGTAATTTCTTATTATTATTTGTTCCTTTGTGTACTGTATGTGTGTATATTGATATTTTCTTTGATATTTGTGTTTTTTCATGCATTACACAAGTATTAATAGAATGAAATCTGATTCTAGGAACGAAGAGGTCGCTTAGGCTTCGAACATGAACATCGTCCCCGGATTTCTCTCTCCAATACTCGCCTAGTGTTCTTAATTAGGGGGATCTGCGTTAAGAGAACGGGAGCTTTTCGAGACGTCCGTTATTGCCTCGTTAAAGAGAATTGGACGGAATGCAAACTTCTACGCCCTTCATATGTAAGTCACGTTATACCACATAATTCAGTACAAGTAGTATGAATAGAAACTGTTTAATTAAATCGACCCGATATTCCTTTTATTTTTATTCGTTACCTTGATCAAAGTTGTTGTTTATCTTCTTTCATATGACAATGTATATTATTATATTGTCATAAATGAATAACGTTATCAATTGCTTTGATAATAAATATTATTATTCTCAATTTCGTAATAATGACTTGGCGCAGAGATGGCTTAATTTCTATTCTGAGAATTTATATAAAACGAGAACGTCATACATATCTTTTTATAACAAGTTACGTTATGTTAAATATCAATTTTCAATTTTTATGCGCCAAAAATGTCTTCGATCTATTAATATTTAATGGAAAATGATAATATATAGAATTAATCCATTTTATATAATTTTTTGAACTTATTACTCTATTTTAAAAGATTATTTTATCATATTTATTATATTGGTAAATTGACAAAGATTATTCTTTTAAAGTTTGAATAAATTACTTAATAAATTGATATATTAAATTTATTATTGTAAAATAAATAAAAAAAAATTTATTATTTTGATATGAGAATACATCACGAAAAGTACAAATTAATTAAAGCTAAAATTAGTTCTAGAAAATAGAATAGTTCTAGATTCAGTATTCATTAGAATTTCATTTCAATTAGTAATACTTTCATTATAGTACGTCTATAAAATATATGAAATAAATTCAAAGAACGGTCGAAAAATTTTTTATATTTATTCGCATCATTTTCTTACCAACCGAAGCTGTATATTATTTATACAAATTTTTTATATTACATCTTGCTATTTTAAGTATCACAGCTTAAACGATCGATGATTCAGATCTCGAAATATTAAGCTTGCGATGCGCTATGAATCAATAATTTAATATATATGATATCAATTATATAATTATCAATAAATATAATGCGATATAATTTAAAACAATGCGCTGTTCTAGATTATGATATATATAGTTTCTGTTACACATTAAGAAAAAAATTGTTAACTTGATTAAATCGTTCAACTAAATTACTATTTTGTTAATGAAACATATATATTAGCATTTCAGTCAAATATATATGTTTTGTGTTAGATTTAATATATTATATTTAATATAAATAATTCTATATATATATGTTCAATTAACAAAATAGTATTTAATTAAACGATTTAGTCAAGTTAACTTTTTTTTCAGTACACAAAGAAAAATACTGACTGAGATAATATCTGAAATTGTTGTCTTGATCTGTGGCATTTTGTCGCAATGATTCTCTCATGTTCCGAAAAAGAGGCTCGTGTGTGCAATACTCTGTATGTATATATCATTCAGAAAGACCGACCACTGCGTGCGCGCGGTATTTTGTCAGACTTGATTACAAGCATGCAATATGCATCTTTCGACTCGTGGCGGCTCCCCTGCGAAGGGTCACTCTCCCTTCTCATCCCTCTTATAAAACGCCGTTAATTCCGAGCTGCGGGGGTTTCGAGTTCTCCCCATTTCGTTCGCGTTCTAGTGGCGGGAGTCAATAAATTAGGGCGCGTTAATCCTATCCGGGGCGTAGTACGTTTTTAACGTAAGCTAAGTTGTTGTGGTTGATTCCTTCGAGGGTGCAAAAAGGAGGAAGTCCGCAGATTAGCCATATTTGGAGAGCACGGTTTAATGAAAGTAAAGAGGGAGAAGGAGATTAAATGCTAGGAATGTAAAACTAGCATGATAAAGAATAAACGACATTGAGCAAGAATGGTGCAATATATTTTGAAAATGAATTATTGATGAGAAAAAAATTATATATTAATTAAATGTGTATAAATTAAATGTCTTTTATATAATGTATGAATAAGTCAGGAATTACTTAATCGCGACGTGCGCGTAATTAAATATATTTTAATTATTATCTTTTTTATATACATCTCTTTTAAATTTAAGTCGCACATTGATCTCTATAGATTTCCTTTATGATGCTTCTCATTATCGTGTCGACGATAAATCTTTTCTGAATTTATGCGATCGACTTTCGAACTAGGTCAATCGGAGAATGTTGCATGCGCGTTTCTGTCATTGCTATCAAGGTGCTTAACTGAATCAGATTATGCACTGATACGGGTCGCCTGAGGAGAATACCGCGAATTCAGAGCAAGCTAATCGATTGTTTTCCATCACGGGATTCTCCTTCACGGAACCACTCAAACCTTATGCAATTGCATTATAATATCTTTCATAAATAGATTATTGAATTGCATTTGATTGGATTTTTTTAGATTATTAAAGTAGATTTTTTAAAATATATTTTCACGTAGATGAAACGAGAACTTATCAACTATTTTTTTCTCATTTTTAAAACTTGATTACTATATTGCTATATTTAGCAATATTTTGCTGTTGATAAATTGAAAAATAACCTTAGAAAAAGAAAATTATATGTTATATAACTAGGAATGTCGGATAAAATTTGTATAAGCACGACTTAATATATCATTTCCACATTCTTCACATGTATACTCTTTCCAAGTATAGTTCAAATATATCAAAGATGACAGTTGCATTTTGCGCTTGGTTGGTACAAAGATGTATCAGCGTAGATTCAACCATGGAGAGATGCAAACCAATCAGTCTAATAGAATCTCCCCAGTTGCCTATCGAATGATTCATAGTACGTCGCTTGGGAAGCAAATTTATTAATAAGACCAACCAGACAAAGCTCGGCACCGAACTGATTCGTCATTATGACGTATATCCTGTCTCATAGATATTTAATGTTTAAACCTTATTATCTTTTCTTCCAATATCTATATATAAATAGATAGGAATGTTAAGAATTTATAAGAATACAAATTTATCGATGCAAAATATTACTACAAAATGTTGATAATCGGGAGATAAATCTATATGTCACAAATTTAATTAAAGACTTTTATAATAATCTTAAAATTATATATAATTCATTATTAGCTTTTAATATTAACAGCAGGGTATGGAAAAGGAGGATGGTAAGTTTGAATTTTATTGATCCTGCCAAAATTGAGGGAGCGAACATGTTTTATTTAAACAAGAAGAGATAACTTGTCTCTCTATTTTGTTAGTACACAAACGCGCTTCTGCGCTTTTTAATATTACACCGGACGCAAATATAAGGCCATGAAGGGCGCACGTTACTCCGCACATTATATTCCCCGCAACCATTACTATAAAAAAATAAAGCCATCCCACATTTCACGTGTAAAAAGAAGAGTCGCGTGACACATCCCTCTCTCTCGTTCCCTTGCTTTTAGCTTTTTCTCTCGTTCTCTCTCTCTTTGGCAAAATTTTATTCGTTATGCTTAAATCGCTCTACATATGGGACGTTTCTTTCTCATATTCGACATCGTTTGGCGGCGCGATGAAATAAATTCGCCATCATTCTTCGTTTCTTTTTCTCCCTCTCTCTTTCTCCCCTCGAAAGGGATCGGTTCGGAATTCCTTCGACGAAGAAGCTTCGTGTTCACGTCCGGGCATCGGCTTACGTCAGGTTTGCATAACCGCGCGAGATACGCAGAAACATATCGCGAATTAAAGCGGCTTCGTGTAACCCGTACCTCGTCTCTGCGAAAGAAGAGAACCTTATACCGAGCGCATTGGAAGTGCGACTTCTTGCGCAAGAGAGAAACTGCTCCGCAGTGATTCATCATTGTTACGGGGAATATTGGGATATATATCGGCGACGCGGTCCCTCGCGGGCTGAAAGCACACACAAATGGAGAGTAGACAGGGGTCTATACTCTCCATCTACTTAAATGCCCCTACATCCTAGGCAATAGAGGGTAGTTGGATACTTGTCCCCCGCGAGTTTTCCCTGCAGTTTTCTGATTAAACTACGCCGAGATAGAAGAGGGTCGCACTTTTACGCCACGCTCCGCAATCGCTTTTATGATTCGTTCCCGCGCGCAAGCCTTTCGCGATGCAATTTGTTGTGATGACAGTTTACGTCACGATGTATTATTACACTAGGTTATCGAAAAGAGTAGTTATATAATTCACATTGTCGCCGTAATAAATATACTTGCGTTGTCTTTCTTTCCAATGATAGAGTTATAAAAGAGAATATAATAATTATATACGAAGAGAATTTGTTCTTAGAGTTTTTTTTATCCTGAAAATCATGGTAATTATGAGACAATATGGTATTGGAAAATCATTTTATATAACAGTTTCTCTGAGTAATATATTGGGCACAACTAAAAATATACATAAGAAATTTTACTATTTTACTGTGGTAAATATCAGATAGAGAAACTCTTATAAAATTCTTCCAATACCACATTATCTCACGATTACCATGATTTTCAGGACAAATTCTGAAAGAAAATTCTCTCTGTGTATATGCAATAAAAATAATAAATGCAATTTGCCTATTATAAAAAAATATGATATTTTTGTAATGCCTCGACCATTTTTTCATATTACGATCGTATATGATCAGGTTACAGTATTATAAATTATTGCACGCGCGTATGTGCCAGATATTCAAGTCTGGTCTGAGAAGAAAAAATCTGTTAGCTCGTTGAAAATTTCAACATTCACTTTGGCTCGATCGGGTGCAGGTGCATCTCGCGAGTCAACCGGCAATCTGTCCGGGTGCACATTCCTCCCGGGTGCTCCTTCCTCCAGTTACCGAATTTCATCTATCACGAGGTGTATAAAAATAAACGGTATATACAAAGCGTATATATATACGCGAGTAGGGAAATAGTACCATGTGCGAAGCGCCATGTGGCAGAGGGTCAACAATGTCACCGACCGGGAGGAGCATCTTCCCCTCGTATCTCGAGACGAGAAGCACACATCGTGTGGAAAAGAGGTGCTATACGTCGGGTAGACGAGCACCTGCCTCGCCTCGAGGTGAAAGCTCTCCGCGTACTCACCGTGCTCGCACAAAAGGGATTATCCGTTTCTTCGTATATATCGGCGGTTGGCCACACAGTGTAACGCGGCGCGATGTAAAGCAGT